AAGGGAAAGCTGGAATTGAGTTTGGGGGTAATTGCCCGAAACGTTTAGGAATTGGGGGCCAAAAATAAGCATTTTTCTAGTTTCCAGACAATAACTTGTGTTCAAGTGTATGGATCTCTCTGAAATTGTACTGCAAGGTACCATACCACAAAGGGAAGGCTGGGATTGAGTTTGGGGTGATGAATCATAAGGGGGTTCAAAAAATTTGGGGGGGGGCTTTTTTTTTTTCTTTTTTTTTTTTTTCCTTTTTTTTTTCTTTTAAAATTTTCCATTTTAAGTTGGTTATTTCTGATTTATATTTAAAAGCAAATAATAATGATATGGTAGGAGATACACACCAAACAGGATGTGTAAATTATTATATGATAAGTATTGTGCAATAGCAAGAAATTTTCAATTGCACAGTATTGCACAATAGCAAGAAATCTTCAATTGCACAGTATTGCGCAATAGCAAGAAATCTTCAATTGCAGAGTATTGCGCAATAGCAAGAAATATCCAATAGCACAATATTGCGCAATAGCAAGAAATTGTCAATTGTACAGTATTGCGCAATAGCAAGAAATATTCAATTGCACAGTATTGTGCAAAAGAAGATACTTCGTATAAATTGCTTATTTCTTGATCAATTTCAATGGGGTTTTATTCTTGAATTCTTGGGGTTCTTTGATATGCTGAATCCAACCGTGTATTAAGTTTTGGATTTTGGGCCCCATTTTTAAATTGGTCCACATTGAGGTCCAAAGGGTCCAAAATTTAACTTTGTTTGATTTCATCAAAAATTGAATTATTGGGGTTCTTTGATATGCCGAATCTAACCGTGTATTTAGATTCTTAATTTTTGGTTCCGTTTTCAAATTGGTCTACATTAAGGTCCAAAGGGTCCAAAATTAAACTTAGTTTGATTTTAACAAAAATTGAATTTTTAGGGTTCTTTGATACGCTGAATCTAAACATGTATTTAGATTTTTGATTATGGGCCCAGTTTTCAAGTTGGTCCAAATCAGGGTCCAAAATTAAACTTTGTTTGATTTCAACAAAATTGAATATATGGGGTTCTTTGATATGCTGAATCTAACCATGTACTTAGATTTTTGATTTTTGGGCCCCGTTATCAACTTTGTCCACATTGAGGTCAAAAGTCTCCAAAATTAAACTTTGTTTGATTTCATCAAAAATTGAATTCTTGGGGTTCTTTGATATGCTGAATCTAACCATGTATTTAGATTTTGGATATTGGACCATAATAGGTGAATGTCCAATTTAAAATTTTTAAGTTCTTAGACCACATTCATTCTGTGTCAGAAACCTATGCTGTGTCAAATATTTAATCACAATCCAAATTCAGAGCTGTATCAAGCTTGAATGTTGTGTCCATACTTGCCCCAACTGTTCAGGGTTCGACCTCTGCGGTCGTATCAAGCTGCGCCCTGCGGAGCATTTTATTTTTTTCTTTTAAAATTTTCAATTTTGAGTTGGTTATTTCTGATTTATATTTAAAAGCAAATAATAATGATATGGTAGGAGATACACACCAAACAGGATGTGTAAATTATTATATAATAAGTATTGTGCAATAGCAAGAAATTTTCAATTGCACAGTATTGCACAATAGCAAGAAATCTTCAATTGCACAGTATTGCGCAATAGCAAGAAATCTTCAATTGCAGAGTATTGCGCAATAGCAAGAAATATCCAATAGCACAATATTGCGCAATAGCAAGAAATTGTCAATTGTACAGTATTGCGCAATAGCAAGAAATATTCAATTGCACAGTATTGTGCAAAAGAAGATACTTCGTATAAATTGCTTATTTCTTGATCAATTTCAATGGGGTTTTATTCTTGAATTCTTGGGGTTCTTTGATATGCTGAATCCAACCGTGTATTAAGTTTTGGATTTTGGGCCCCATTTTTAAATTGGTCCACATTGAGGTCCAAAGGGTCCAAAATTTAACTTTGTTTGATTTCATCAAAAATTGAATTATTGGGGTTCTTTGATATGCCGAATCTAACCGTGTATTTAGATTCTTAATTTTTGGTTCCGTTTTCAAATTGGTCTACATTAAGGTCCAAAGGGTCCAAAATTAAACTTAGTTTGATTTTAACAAAAATTGAATTTTTAGGGTTCTTTGATACGCTGAATCTAAACATGTATTTAGATTTTTGATTATGGGCCCAGTTTTCAAGTTGGTCCAAATCAGGGTCCAAAATTAAACTTTGTTTGATTTCAACAAAAATTGAATATATGGGGTTCTTTGATATGCTGAATCTAACCATGTACTTAGATTTTTGATTTTTGGGCCCCGTTATCAACTTTGTCCACATTGAGGTCAAAAGTCTCCAAAATTAAACTTTGTTTGATTTCATCAAAAATTGAATTCTTGGGGTTCTTTGATATGCTGAATCTAACCATGTATTTAGATTTTGGATATTGGACCATAATAGGTGAATGTCCAATTTAAAATTTTTAAGTTCTTAGACCACATTCATTCTGTGTCAGAAACCTATGCTGTGTCAAATATTTAATCACAATCCAAATTCAGAGCTGTATCAAGCTTGAATGTTGTGTCCATACTTGCCCCAACTGTTCAGGGTTCGACCTCTGCGGTCGTATCAAGCTGCGCCCTGCGGAGCATTTTATTTTTTTCTTTTAAAATTTTCAATTTTAAGTTGGTTATTTCTGATTTATATTTAAAAGCAAATAATAATGATATAGTAGGAGATACACACCAAACAGGATGTGTAAATTATTATATAATAAGTATTGTGCAATAGCAAGAAATTTTCAATTGCACAGTATTGCACAATAGCAAGAAATCTTCAATTGCACAGTATTGTGCAATAGCAAGAAATCTTCAATTGCACAGTATTGAACAATAGCAAGAAATATCCAATAGCACAATATTGCGCAATAGCAAGAAATTGTCAATTGTGCAGTATTGAGCAATAGCAAGAAATATTCAATTGCACAGTATTGTGCAAAAGAAGATACTTCGAATAAATTGCTTATTTCTTGACCAATATCAATGGGGTTTTATTCTTGAATTCTTGGGGTTCTTTAATATGCTGAATCTAACCGTGTAATAAGTTTTTGGATTTTGGGCCCCGTTTTTAAATTGGTCCACATTGAGGTCCAAAGGGTCCAAAATTAAACTTTGTTTGATTTCATCAAAAATTGAATTATTGGGGTTCTTTGATATGCCGAATCTAACCGTGTATTTAGATTCTTAATTTTTGGTTCCGTTTTCAAATTGGTCTACATTAAGGTCCAAAGGGTCCAAAATTAAACTTAAGTTTGATTTTAACAAAAATTTAATTCTTAGGGTTCTTTGATATGCTGAATCTAAACATGTATTTAGATTTTTGATTATGGGCCCAGTTTTCAAGTTGGTCCAAATCGGGGTCCAAAATTAAACTTTGTTTGATTTCAACAAAAATTAAATATACATGTATGGGGTTCTTTGATATGCTAAATCTAACCATGTATTTAGATTTTTGGGCCCCGTTATCAACTTTGTCCACATTGAGGTCAAAAGGGTCCAAAATTAAACTTTGTTTGATTTCATCAAAAATTGAATTCTTGGGGTTCTTTGATATGCTGAGTCTAACCATGTATTTAGATTTTGGATATTGGACCATAATAGGTGAATGTCCAATTTAAAATTTTTAAGTTCTTAGACCACATTCATTCTGTGTCAGAAACCTATGCTGTGTCAAATATTTAATCACAATCCAAATTCAGAGCTGTATCAAGCTTGAATGTTGTGTCCATACTTGCCCCAACTGTTCAGGGTTCGACCTCTGCGGTCGTATCAAGCTGCGCCCTGCGGAGCATTTTATTATATATTAGTCAGAAGTCGAAGGGGACTTTAGGTTTGCACTCCGTCTGTCTGTCTGTCCATCCGTCAGTCCGGCACATCAGTTTTCCACACTTTTTTCTTCGTGCTTGAAGATATTAATTTGATATTTGGTGTAGTGTTTAATCATGACAAGTTACAGATCAAGTTACGATTTTGTGCAGAGTTGTGGTCCTTGAACTTAGAAAATTCACTCAAATAATCAGTTTTCCACTTTTTTTTTTGTAATGCTTGAAGATATTGATTTGATATTTGATGTATTGTTTAATCATGACAAGTTACAGATCAAGTTCAAATTTTGTTCCGGTATGATGATTTTGTGCAGAGTTATGGTTCTTGGACTTAGAAAATTCTCTCAAATAATCAGTTTTCCTCACTTTTTTTCGTCATGCTTGAAGATATTGACTTGATAATTGTTATGTAGTTAACACCATGACAAGTTATAGATCAAGTTAGTTAGCATTTTGTTCCTATACAATGAATTTTTAACCCGTAGTGGACTACGTTTTGCCATGCAATACTCTCATAATGCTTGTTTAAGTTAATCCTTAAAGTTTCAATTGTTTATCAGTAAAATTATGAAGTTGTATTTAAATGAAATGCACGAATATATGTGTACGTAACTAAAAGGGTAAATAGTTCAAACTACTGTGCTACATACTTACACTTTAAAAAAAAGGGGGCGGGAGTATTAAAAAAAATAATTACAAATGTACATTTCAGTTATTTATGCATTTAAATTTTCAATACTTTAAGTGCAACCTGTGTCCATTTATGTAAATGCATATGTATGAAAATAGATTTCTTTTTATTTTAATATCACCAACATGGCAATACAAATGTGACAATGAATTGCGACACGACACGAAAGGTGAGTCTGTCTAATATCGAGGACTAACCACAGCACTTTAAAAAAAATCCTAGGAAAATTGCTGATGACACATATTGTCCCTTGACGTCTAATACTGTAAGATATATGGTTTGCTACTGAGCCCGTACAGATTCATAGAGGGTTAGTTAAACCAATCACAACGTCATTATTTATCCGAGGTGCAAAAATATAGGGATTAGGCTCCTTTTGGTCCCTGGTTCATTTGATTCATTCACCTTTTTTAAACGAGCAATATTTTATCTTTTCAGTTGTTTTATTATTGTATGCAATGCAGCTTTATTCATGGAAAAATCCATCACCTGATCATTGGCAAGATTTTGGCCCGTCACGATGAGTGTTGTACTCAGAGTTGGAGCAGTTTATCCAGATTATAATGCTGGCTGCACAGAGTAAGTAATATAGTCGAATTGTTTCTTTCTTTTTAATCTTCTGACAATTACCAACTCATTTACCTTTCTAGAAAAGAAGTTTCTGTCTGAACATTAAGACATTTTTGCCATAGCAGGTCTCACACCATTGGGCGACTAGAACAAAGAAGTCGCCTTCCTGTCCAGCGTGCTTTCCGTAAACTCAAAAGTGATGTCTTGACACTCTTTTCATTAGTTATTTTCAGTTGTTATGCAATTTTTAGAAATAAAAAGGACTTACACAGTTTATTGTTAATGAAACAAATTGAAATTATGTAGTGACGTCGAAGAATAACTGCATATTCTTTCAAAGGAACTTTGTTTTATGCTAACCAGTCATGGTGTTTCCTTTCACTTCCAGTCATAGTCCTGAGTGTACATCAAACAATGCACATTTTTGACAAATAAGTTTTTAACTCTGCTAAAAATTTCCTTAAAGTTATGTTTGGCATATATTTATTGCAGTTTACCAAATTGATTCTCAAAGATTTTTCCTTTGTGTATTTTATTAGATGCCATATTTTATTTATATTAAGCTCAGATGTGAGATCTACAATATGAAATTCCTGAAATTTGTTATCAGGCCTCATGTGAGCATGCTTTATCATGTGATGTCTTTTTTAATTCATCACACATCAATATCCTGTTTACTGAATACATACATACATTCTAACACACATCAGTCTTCGCACTCAACCTCAGGCCCACCAGCCCAGGCTTGTAAAAATGCTGTCGGGCCTGTAAAAATCATATCTACAGACCAATAAAATCTAACTAAAATTTTAGTAAAATTCAGCTTCGGGCCTGTAGATTCAAAAGTTTAGCATGAAGACTGACACATAATGGCAATGTATGAAATTTTCATCACATTTTCTAGGGAACCTCAAATAAGAGCTTCTTTAAATTTGTTATCAGGCTTCGAGAGAACATGCTATACCATATGATGCGTTTTCAGATTCATGGGTCATCAACTTCCTGTCAACAGAATACTTGTATTTTCAAACACATTATTGTCATAAAATATTTGTCACATTTTTTAGAGATCTACAAAAAAGAGCTTTCTGAAATTTGTTCTCACACTTCATGTGAACATTCTTTACTGTGTGATATGTTTTCAGATTTATCGTTAATCAACTTCCTGTTTACCAAATTCTTAAAGCAGGGTATCATAAGTGAACAATAGCTCACAGTTTTTGGGAAAGACGTCAATTCCTTATGTGGCTGGCCAGACTTCCAAGCCCCTCACGTCACTCATTTTGTTTTTATAGTTGCGGAAAATACCTCAAAATTTCATACTGAATTAAAGAGAAGGAGACACACAAATGAACAGATTGACTTTAAACACTTTTTAACACATTTAACACATTTGCCTTCTGTATCTCATGAAATTATCGTATCTTGAGCTCTCCTTAACATTATTTACGTTTCTTTTACAATCCAGAAAAATCAGTATTACGAAATATTCTAAATATATCCAACCTAGTGACGTCATGGTTGGAATTCCACACTAGGTAGAAGCAGGGATATCCTTTCCTCATTATTAAAATCATTCACAGAGATCGTGTATGATTTAGAAATCGGTATTTGTTTATTTAAAAACATAATTATGTTTGCTCTAGATGATTCAAACATGCAATGCTTTGATTTACCAACAATTAATTTCAATATTATCAATCTTTCTATGTGTTTTTGCTCATTCTTTGTATGAAGACTATCAAAAGATACATAAAAAAATAGAAACATTTGCCGTCTTTTCCCTCAGAGCTTTTAAGCTCTTTGATTACCTGTATCTACTTATGTATCCATAATTCACTTGCTTTTTAGATATAACATCTAGCTTTATTTTATATAAAGGGCTATTTTTGAATTAACCACTTGTTAGTGTTAGTGTGGGGAGAAGGGAAATAGGCATTTAAATAAAAATATGGGTGATGGACCATACATTTAAGGGTTTGAGTCGCAGAAGACTATGGTGCAATCAGTTTTAATTTTGTGGATGGTGTGATCTGTAGATTGAGACTTCCAAACCTCATTGAATTTGACCTCAAGGTAGCTGTGAGTTGACATATTTTGTTTAACATGATATATCATCTACTTGTATTAAACTTTTACAGTGCTGACTCCTATGATGATGGAAATGCAGCTGAAGATTACAGTAGACCATCTTCACAGTCCTTTCCTGGCTGTTTTGGACTACCCTACCAGGTAAGACTACTAGTCCTCACACACATTTCACGGATTATTTAGACTATTCTACCAGGTAGGACTGCAATAGAAGGTAGTCCACCCATTCAAAACTTTTATTGGACAACAATAGACAGGTCTTTACAGCTCATTTAAGGTCATTTACAGCTACTGTATATTTGTTTATTTTCATGGATACTAGTTTTGGTGGATTGTGGATATTTGATTTTGAGCTTTTGCCAAAGTCTCAATTCAAGCCTATAGAATTTTTTTTATTACAATGATCATTTAAAATCATGGTTTGCCATTACCCATGAAATTTGTGAAAATTGGTATCCAACGAATATTAATGAATCCACAGTATTCTACCATGAAAAAAAACTATTGTCAGATTAGTATATCTGGGATGATAGAATGTATTGAAAGCTGCATAAATTTTATTCTAAAAATACAACTATTAGAAGGTATATATTCATCTGAATCAGATTGTTACTAAGTGCTTCACTAAATAGTAAGAGAGAACATTCTTTGGTTGTTACTTTTACATTTAACATAAATTATAGCCAACTTAAAATCCATTTGAATTTTTTGATCATCAGCCAACCAGGATATAATTGAGAAAACAATTCAGTAACAAGTAATAGGTAATTTGTATAATGTGAAAGTAAAATTACTCTTGGATTAACAATGGTAGAGCACAAGCACCTGCCATAGTATGTATTAAGTGTATACTGTATATATTTTTCTGTTTTTTGTCTCGTCTTGATGGAGTCAAAAAGCGAGACATAGGTATGCTGTTTCCGGCGCCGCCGCCGCCATCAACAATGTTTTAGTTTGTGATAAGGTCTAGTTCATGGTGAACCACTAGTGGTAGGTCAATGATATTTGGTATGCAGTTGTATTAGCATTGGCACATCTCATTACCAAAGAGATTATTTGGCCCGCCCCCTCAGTCAAGGTCTATTGACTTTGAAACTTTTCATAGTTTACATGTATTAGTTTGTGATTAGGTAAATTTATGGGGAACCACTAGTGGTAGGTCAATGATATTTGGTATGCAGTCAGTGTTCTTCCCAGGATTTTTGGATAGCACCAGGGTAACGCGTGTGAACAGCTTGGTAAAATGATTCATACAATCAGTTGTGTCGCGTGACGTTGCTATATTTCTAGTTACTGCAGTTTTTATGTCTCTTGTTTAGTTTTAATACTGTGGTACTGTGTTATGTCAGAATATTATTGGTTAAAAAGATCAATAAACAGTTTGTATACTTTATATTTTTTAAAAATAAATAAAACATGATTCATTAGATAATATTCATCTAAATTTAAAGTAATTAAATCTTTTATAAAATCCATGATCAATAAAAATAAAATATCATTCAAACAGGAACATATATATTGTTAGATATACTGTTCCCAGATTCAAAAGAGAACAAAAATGTTCAATTTAAAAACCTTAGAAAGAAAGTTGTTGTATGTGAAAGGATTCCTGTCATAAGGGAGATATAAAATTAACAAGAACTAAAGGTACAAAATTGTGTAATAATTTGAACCAGTTTCTATCTTAAATTTTAATAAAAAGAAATTTTTCATAAATTTTAAAACATTTTGCTATAGATTTCATGAACATGTAAATATTAACATTTTCTTGTCTTTGGTGATAATCAAACATAGATACAGACTTAATACTGCACTGAATTCTAAATCTTGATTTGTCATGATCCATTTAAAAAGAATTCCTAAATCTATAAATTTATCTTGGGTCTATAGATCTATAAGTAACATATTTAATGTCAATAACAAAGTCTCCCTATTTTCCCAATTAAATGACAGGAAGTAGATATAAATAGATTTAACATGTGCTTATGGATTAAAATTGCAAGATCACTTCTGTTATTCATTATGATCATATGGATATATATATCCAGTTTGAAGGTACAGTCATGCATTTTATTTATAAAATAGAATAGATTGCAGTTAATTGTAAATAATCTTGAATATTCTACGTGAACTAACTAGGTCATTTGATCCTTCCCCTTTTAATTACTTGTTGACAGTTTGAAACCTGAATATCATGCAATAACTATGTCATAATTAAAGATAATTTTGTCCATGGTTTAATCAGAGACATATAAAACTATAATATAAGTATTGAGCTAACTTTATAATGTACAAAATATGTACCGACGTGTGTACAACTATCAGGTGGTGAGTGAAGCCTTAAAATAGTTATCTTTGATCATAAAGTTATGATCTCTAAATTAAAACACAAAAGAATCATGTAAAAAGTGTTAATTACATCGATTAAATCCAATCAACAAAGGTTAACCTCTCAAAGGTAAATCAATCACGTGGTGTAAACAATCCGTGTTGAACTGGTTTGAACTGGTCAAATTTCACCTGGAATTTTATACCGCACGGAAAAGATTTAACAAGTCGTTTAAAACTTTACCGATTTACGATTTTTTAACTGAAAATTTTAGCACCACGGAGAAAAATTATACATCGCGGTAAGAACGATACCACCACGGTGAAAAATTATTCATCGCGGTCCTTTAAGGGCCTGGGGAGAACACTGGCAGTTGTATAAGCATTGGCATATCTCATTTCCATGGAGATTATTTGGCTCCGCCCCTTTAGTCATGGTCTATAGACTTTGAAAATTTTGCTAAGTTAACATGTATTAGTTTGTGATTAGGTCAGTTCAAGGGGAACCATTAGTGGTAGGGTGTTCAGTTGTATAAGCATTAGCGCATCTCATTTCCATGGAGAATATGTGGCCCCACCCTCTCAGTCATGGTCTATTTACTTTGAAACTTTTGCTTAGTTTACATGTATTAGTTTGTGATTAGATCAGTTTAAAATGAACTGCTAAGGCTTAAATTAAAATATTGTTTGTTTGCAGTTTACCGACCGACCTTTGAAAATCTGTCCGACTGTGAAAATTTTATTGCTTTTAATTTGAAGAAATTATTTTTAATACTTCTATTGTTGCGATCCAGAACTTCAGGTCGTTTCTGGAATTGATTTAAAGTCTAGGTCGATTACACATTTCAAGTTCTGTTTTTCTTACCTTCCTACCAAGCGTTCATGGGACTTTTAATGATAAAGCACATGGAGATTGTTTACAGGTATCCATGAAGTCATGGAGGAGTACTTTATGCTGTCGTCTTCTGTCAATTTTAAGACAAATAACAAACAAAAACGTTTAATAGTAAACTGTTTATACAGATTCAGGCAGAGTTGCACAAGGAATGATGTCAATGATATCATTGACGATGATGCAGCAGATATTCATAAAACCAACACAATAACGTTTCTGTCTCAAACAAATCGGGTAGAGAATCTTTTGAGCCTGACTTTATGGAACCAATATCAGTGGTTAAACAATTCGACAGCAGCCTGAAGTATGCCATATTTTCTATAAATCGTTGTGAATACAACAAAGATGAAACCACTCCTCCATGACTTTATGGTTACCCGTAAACACACCTGTACGGAGGAAGGGCGCATTTAAAATATTAATGGATAGACAATGCAAAATCAATAAGAAGCAACACAAACTGCACAAAGATGTAGAGAAAAAATGAATTGTTAGCTTGAAAAATAAATATACTTTCTCTATATTAAATCTATCTTCTATTGCAATGAGTATGCTCCTCTAGGATAAGGGGGGGGGGGGGGGGGGGGGGGGGGGGGGGGGGAGTCTGCCCCACTCATTGCAATTATTCTCTCTCTTACAATATTAAATATACCCAAATTGTGTGGCCTTTGGAATTGAATGAAAACATGTCCTTAGGAGCTATGCTGCCAATTTTTTTTTTGTGCAGTCAAAACATTTCAATACGGACCATTTACCTTGAAAGGGGTGCTATAGATTTCACCCTGAATTTCACCCTACAGTCTAAAGATTTTTATGCCCCCGCCGTAGCGGAGGGGGCATTAAGTTTTACCCTTGTCCGTCCGTACGTACGTCCCAAAATTGGTTTCCGTTCTCTAACTTTAGTTTGCCTCAACCAAATGTTATGAAACTTATACACAATGCTTATTACCACAAAACACAGATCAAGTTTAAATTTTGGTGGCGTCACTTTAACCGTTCTAGAGTTATGCTCCTTTACAAATGGAAAATTGCTGAATTTATCATTTCAATTCTCTAACTTTAGTTTGCATCAACCAAATGTTATGAAACTTATATACAATGCTTATAACCACAAAACACAGATCAGGGTTGAATTTCGGTCGCGTCACTTTAACTGTTCTAGAGTAATGCCCTAAAAAAATGGAAAAATTGCAAAATTTTTATTTTCTTCTAAATATCAAGTAATTTTTAAAATTGGAGTTATCTTCCTTTGTCCATGATTATAGTTGAATCAACTACAATCAATGCTTTATGCAATGCAATGTTTAATTTTGACTTCCACTGATAAAACACAGATTCAAGTTGAATTTGGGTAGCGTCACTTTAATTGTTTTTCAGTTATGTCCCTATATAACTATATGATATGCAAGTGGGGGCATCATCTGTGTCCACATGTGGACACTATCCACATTTATTTGGGTTTTAATTGAAGCCTGGCATCAACATACATATCTTTCAAAATATAACCTTATTACATAATAATTAAATATTGTTAGAATATGAAAACAGTCGGATGTCTAATATATTTTTTTTTTTTTTAAGTTGCCTTTTTTTTTCAATTGAGAAAGATTCAATGGTTGATTTTTTTTTTATCAAAAACACTCTTACATTGTCTTAATTATGAATCTTTAATATCTACATTTTTCTGATAAAAATACTCTACTCGTGAAAACATTCTAGTCAAGAAGCATATATGTCAGTGAATATATTTCTTTAAAACAATTCTATATATATAGAAGTTATATTTTCAGTAAGTTAGTTATTCCTTGTTTAGCTTCAGTTTTTGTTAAAAAGTTTTCAGTTTATCTGAAAAGCCTGTTCATTTCATGTTGCTTTTCAGTGTTCGTTGTTTTAAAATGTTTTTTCTTCACAAGAAACTTGGTTTGTGTAACTGCTTGTTTAAACTTTATTTTGGCTGATAAAATAAAATATTTTTCCTACCTACCGACCCTTCAGTCTGAAGGTATAGTCGAAAAACTGCAAACAAACATATTTATAAGGTTGGCCTAATATTAAGTCAATGATATTTGGTATGCAAATTTATTGGCATTTGCAAGTATCGTTTCCATGGAGATTATATAGCCCCACCCCTGATCATGGTTCATTGACTTTGAAACTTCTACATAGTTTACAAGTTAATGTTTGTGTTTAGGTTTGTTTAACTCTGAGTGCAACGCGCGACTATTGTCGTTCCGATAAAGCAGTCCGCTACTGCTACGTTCGACTATTGTCGTTTCCGTATCTCATTTGTTTACACAGTTACCATGGAATGGGCGGCGTCAATATTCATGAGATTGCGGCAGTTTAGACTTGTATGGATTCTGATTGGTTAAAATTCGGCATACTTTCGAGTTTCTCTTGACTTTAAATCAGGTATAAGCGATGAAACAGAAAGTGAAAAATTTAGATGAAAAAAGTAACAAAATCGCAGAAATTGTATGGAGTGATGGCCAACACGTTCAGAAGTATTTCAATGATAACGATGGAACAGCGGCGGCCAATTTAAATGATTTGGACGAGAACAGAAGATATAATAGATGGAAAAAGAAACATTCTAGCAAAACTGCGAACAGAAGACTTTTAAAGCGGGAACCACGGGGATTCCCCAGACGATGTTCGAAATGGATGACATGAAACAGGGTTTGCGATGTTTATCATTGCGCTTTCAACTGTGAATCAATATTGATCACTGATATCGATAGATTCGAACATTATGTTTGTCAAGATTATTTATTGACGAAAGTTATATCAATGAACTTGTTGTTAAAACATATTTGTACATTGAAGTAAAAGTCGAAAGTCGGAAGGAAAATACCGGAAAATAGTTGCATAAAAAAAACGTTGGTCCGAGAAGAAACTTTTTCTTTTGATAATCGCAATAGAACTAGTTCTTATAATAGATTTTTAACAATATTGGTTCAATTCTGAAGTCAATGATACCTTTGAAAAGTTTTTACATTGATGGATTCGCGTTAATAAAACATGGGAAAAAAAAATTTACCTTTGTTTACCTCTATTTGCACCTGTACAGGTAATAAATGACCAGAGACCCACACAAAAATAAAATAAATAAAAAATACAGAATATAACAATACTTTTTTATATAACTTTTATTGATGAATATTCAATATTTACAAAGATATTGCAATTGTAAGTAAACATGTTTATTTCATCAGTGATTAAAATTTTATTCAGCAATACACAAAAGTACAATAGAAATGAATGCAGCAGTCTTAGGGTTAAAGGGAACGACTTATAATAAGTCAATGGTATTTGGTATGCAGTTGTATTAGCATTGGCACATCTCATTCCATGGAGATTGTTTAGCCATGTACCTTCAGTCATGGTTCATCGACTTTGAATATTTGCATAACTTACATGTTAAAGTATTGCTATTTTAATTTCAACATTTGCATTATCAAAATTACAAAAAGGCGAGACATATCTCTGTGATAACAGTTTATGTTAGTTATGGAATAGTCCTGTGTACTGGTGGTAGTGCCTTGCATGTGTATGGAGTGATTAATGCTCATCTGGTTTTGTTATACCCAGCCCTGAAGGAGGGAGCATTCTATACCATGTGATATAGATATAAGAAGATGTGGTATGAGTGCCAATGAGACAACTCTCCATCCAAGTCAAAATTTATAAAAGTAAACCATTATAGGTCACAGTACGGTCTTCAACACGGAGCCTTGGCTCACACCGAACAGTAAGCTATAAAGGGCCCCAAAAATAACTAGTGTAAAACCATTCAAACGGGAAATCCAATGGTCTAATCTATATAAAAAACGAGAAACACTTATGAACTACATCAACAAACAACAACTACTGAACATCAGATTCCTGACTTAGGACAGGTGCAAACAAATGCAGCGGGTTTATGGTGGTGCTCCATAATTGTGATCACATTACGTAATGTTTTCACATTTATCGCTCATCAACTTTTTGTTTACTGAATACCTGTATATTCTTACACTTACTGGTCATATATGAAATTTTCTTTGCATTTTTCTCAAAAACTGTGAGTCAGAGGTTCCAAAAATTTGGTATCAAGCCTCGTGTGAGCATGGTATACCCTTTGAAGCATTTTCCCATATATCTCTTATCTACTTCCTGTTTAAAGAATCTATATATATTCTAACACATAATCATTAATGCTTTGATGCCTTATCACATCCATTGCTTGATAAAATTGAGAATGGAAATGGGGAATGTGTCAAAGAGACAACAGCCCGACCATAGAGCAGACAATCGACAACTTCCTGTTCATTGAATACTTATATCAGGTGTATCATTAATGAGTGGTAGCTCGCACTTCTATTTGTTTTTCTTGCATCAGAATTACATTGTGCATAAAAATCAGTTGTACAGTGTAATATGTAGTTCCATTACAGAGCAAGTATATTGAATATCTACCTGAACCTGTTCTGTTTTTTCTCAGGATCACAATTATGGAGCACCACCACCAGCTTCTCCTCCACCACGGATTCCATCACCTGCTTTTATAGATAAGATAAATGGTCATATTGAAGTAGAAGAGATATCAGTGACAAGTGTAGGTCAACAGGCCAGTGTTGATGTGACAAGCAGTGATGCTGTAGATGATAGTATTACCAGATGTATTTGTGACTTCACTCATGATGATGGATACATGATATGTTGTGACAAGTGCAGGTAAATAAATTTTAAATGACGGTATAGGTGTAAGTAGCATGCTAGAGTCAGAATTCATCTGACAAGCAGAAATGTTAAAGGCAATTGTTATTACCAAGAGGTCAGTCATGATGTTGGTTGCAGGATCTGTTGTGACAATAGCAGTCTAAACAAAATGCCAGGTGTGACACTTACATGAAAAAGGATATAAGTAACGTAAAAACAGTAGGTAGGATTAGATATATAAGGCTTCACTTTATTGTCTCAATACTTTTCAAAGTGATTCATAAGTTTGCCTTGTTGTATTTTTATTATACCTCTGCCTCTTAAGGCCAAAACTAAATTTAAGTTTGTTTTCCCTCGCCCCTGCCGTGTCTAAAAAAAGCTGCAGAGTCAAAAAAAATTATTGGCATTTTTTTTTTTTTTAATTTGATTTCCGGGGGGAAAAAATCGGAGATTGTCCGACATCAATCCTTATGAAAAGTATTTCTCAGAGGTCCTTGGTTGAGGAAAACTACAAATTAGTGCTTACTGAAATTTGTTATCATGCTTCATGCTAATATGATTTATTGTGCAATGCATATTCATATCCATCGATCTTCAATTTCCTGTTTACTATATACTTAAAGCAAGGGTATCATTAGTGAGCAATAGCTCACATTTCTACTTGTTTTGCCTGATATATTTTAAAATCAATTAAAATTCTGTTTGTAAATTAATTTGGCTAGTATAGTTTGCATCATAAAAGATGTAAAGAAAGAATCTAGTGTCTTTTGCTGTGTAATTATTCTTTTCTTTGTAGCGTATGGCAACATATTGACTGTATGGCTGTTGACAGAACAAATATTCCTGAATCCTACTTCTGTGAAATATGTGAACCTAGATCTCTGGACAGAGACAGAGCAAGACAAATTCAGCTGCGAAAAAGGGAATTCATCCTTGCAGGTAGTTATTAGTTGAACAGTTCTAGAACAAACTGATATTTTTGTGGTAAACACAAATTTGTCAAGAAAAGACTACAACATTACAATTTTGGTAGAACTAAACTTGGTCTTTTAATTGGAAAAAAACCAAACCAGAAACCTATTGTGATCAAAATGTTTCAAATTAAGTAGATCAATAGTTTTCCCTGTTTGGTACATTTTTGGACATCTTCGTCACTTGTCTTGTGTGTATCTGTATCATCAGAAATAGTACAGCCCATCCTTCCAAAGATAACTTTTTCTGACATCTATTAATTTCAGAATTTTGACTTTGGATTCTTGACTTTTTGTTGAAAAAATAACCCACACTTGTTGCCAACCTTTGAATAAAAATAAATAACAATTGTTATGGGGTCCACTAAAGTAGACTTACTCCAATGTCTGAAAAGTATAAAACCTAAAAATATAATCTGTAAAAAGGTATGTTAAAGCTTAATGAAATTTGATATGTTGATTGTCTTTTGAAAGAAAAATTGGATTTGACTTTAAGGATAAGTTGTATTAATTTCTAACACATGAAATGATGATAGTCTAAATGTTCATTATTAGGCCACAATTTTCTTCTTTTGTTTTTTTCTTATTAATTTAATGATTTCCAGATTTTGTATTATTTCTGTTACTGGTAGATATGTCAATAATTTTGTTGCATACAAACTTCCTTTTGCAATTCTTGATTCTTCATGTAGACAGCTGTGTTGAAGAACAAAAATCATGATGCCTTACAAATTTTGTTGATTAGAAATCAATTTTAAATTTATATGTATTTTTTATTCATTTGTGAGTGTTTGAAATTTTTACTGTTGTGGCTGTATAAGGAATAAAAAAATCTTCAAATTATCCACATTTTCCCTAAGTTGGATGAAAATCTACTAATTGATATTAGTTGACCTACTATTAAATGATGTATAATTATGTACTTTAGGTTTCATTGTTAATGAGGTAATGCAATATCTAAACGGTGAAAAAGATGAAAAACCCTGTAAATAGCTTAACTGTGTTAATACTTTATAACCAAACAGATTTTTCTACACCTTGTTTTCAATTGATAGTACTTTATACAAGAACTTATAGCTGGAAAATTGTCTTCGTAGATTATTTATCCAAGTGCCAACTTTTGTTAAATACTGTTACTTTTACTTTAACATTTGTATATGTAGCGGATTCAAGCACAGATACAGATCCAGATGAGCCTGTTAATAGGAGAATGTCTCAAGATATGGGTAAAAAGGGAAAACCCAAGAAAAGAACAAAAATTCTTAAAAGTAAGGACGACAAAGTCAGAAGAACAAAGAAGGACAAGAAAGATATAAAAAAGGAAAAAGAAAACAAAGATTTAAGCAGAAGATTGAGGGTAATTTAAATAGAGTATTGTCTACATTTTTATGTAATATTTGCCTGTAATAAAATATTAAGGTTTTTGAAAGGCTGGAATTTAATTCAGATTCTTTCCTAAGGAATCTGCCTAATCAACAGAGAAGTAGCTGTGTTAGCCATTAAATATATACACATTGAAATGTACTTTCTAACTTCATATGTTGATGTAAATATGCATAAATGATCTGAAAAATTTGGGTCTTATCATTTGAGCAGTTAATTCAAGTATCTGTACCAATAGTTTGTCCATTTTGTTAAAAAGTAAGAGTTCATATGTAGGAACTTAAAAATACCTTACCAAAAAAGTTAATGATCCTTTTCAGATGAATCTTCATTTGGTAATTTCTTCTGGTTAAAAAAATATAAACTTCAAACTTACTTTGTCTTGTCTTGCTTTCTTTTCAAATTTACTATATGTTTATTATGTTTAGATATCTTTGAAGGAGAGGGACTCAACATCCAAAAAGAACATAAAAAATAAGGTAATTTTTTATCATGGTTATAACTATTTTGAAAAATCTCTTTGAATTTTCATAAAAAGCTGAAAAAATAGTGAAACAGATAATTGATACAATACTTATATTCTTAAGAGTATCCTTGTGCATGTTTTCTATTAAATTTAAAGTTTTTTTTTAAGACATCAATAACTTTGTCAAACCTACATGGAATTTTATGAAATTTGGACAGAAGCTTGTTAATGACCAAAATACAGTATCCAGAGAAAAAAATTGAAAATATTTTTTTATTTTTCCATCTTTTACTGATAAATGGACTTAGTTTTTTGACAGTTAACAAGTAGATACAGTCTGGGGTTAAAGTTTAAATTAATAACTTTGTCAAACCGTCATAGAGTTTTATGAAACTTTGGCAGAAGCTTTTTAATGATTAAGAAATAATATCTGAAGCATATCTTTAAAAAAAAAAATTTTTAGTATTTTTATACGACCGCAAAAATTAAATTTTTTGGTTGTATATTGGTATCACGTTGTCGTCGTCGTCAGCATCGTCCGAAGACAGATGGTTTCCGAATAATAACTTTAGTATAAGTGAATAGAAATCAATAAAATTTTAACACAAGGTTTATAACCACAAAAGGGAGGTTGGGATTGATTTTTGGGATTATGGTCCCAAAGGTTTAGGAATTAGGGGCCCAAATAAGCATTTTTGCACTTTCCAGACAATAACTTGTGTTTAAGTGTATGAATCTCTCTGAAATTATACCACAAGTTTCCATACAACAAAGGGATGGTTATGGGGGGTTATGGCTCAAACCATTTAGCAATTAGGGGCAAAAAAGGGGGAAAAACAAGGGTTTTTATGGTTAAACGACAATTTAGACAATTTAAAAGCAGTGTAAGGGAGGTAATCCAATCCATTTAAAGAATACTGTTGTATATATGTTTGATTACCTCCCTTACACTGCTTGTAAATTATGTATTAAGAAATAATGATTGTCTTGAGATGATAAGCTGTAAATTTATTTTAGAAGTTACTACTAATATATATTAATTTTAACCATGACTGTATGTCATTTTATATTTTAATATTTTATGATGTATTTAAATGAGTAGTTATGGTTGCAAACTCTATTAGAAATTTGAATTGAGATTATTTTTATACCACCGCAAAAAAAATTTGCGGTCGAAGATTGGTATGAGGTTGGCGTCGTCGTCGTCCGAAGACACATTGGTTTTCGCACTCTAACTTTAGTTTAAGTAAACGGATCTCTATGAAATTTTACCATAAGGTTCCATACCACAAAAGGAAGGTGGGGATTGATTTTGGGGGTTATGGTACCAACATTTAGAAATTAGGGACCAGAAAGGGGCCAAAAATAAGCATTTTTTGTAACTTCCAGACATAACTTGTGTGTTAGTGTATGGATCTCTCTGACATTGTACTACAAGGTTCCACATCACACAGGGAATGCTGGGATTGATTATGGGGGTAATTGCCTCCAAATTTTGGGAATTAGGGGCCAAAAAGGGCAAAAAACAAGCATTTTTCTTGTTTCCAGACAATAACTGTGTTCAAGTGTATGGATCTCTCTGAAATTGTACTGCAAGGTACCATACCACAAAAGGAAGGCTGGGATTGATTTTGGGGGTAATTGCCATCAAAATTTTAGGAATGAGGGGCCATAAAGGGGCAAAAAAACAAGCATTTTTCTAGTTTCAGGACAGTAACTTGTGTGTAAGTGTATGGATCTTTATGAAATTGTACTACAAGGTTCCATATCACGAAGGGAAAGCTGGGATTGAGTTTGGGGGTAATTGCCCTAAACGTGTAGGAATTTGGGGCCAAAAAGGGGCAAAAAAACAAGCATTTTTCTAGTTTACAGACAATAACTTGTGTTCAAGTGTATGGATCTCTCTGAAATTGTACTGCAAGGTACCATACCACAAAGGGAAGGCTGGGATTGAGTTTGGGGGTGATGAATCATAAGGGGGTTCAAAAAATTTGGGGGGGATTTTTTTTCCCTTGTTTTTCTTTAAAATTCTCCATTTTAAATTGGTTATTTCTGATTTATATATAAAAGCAAATAATAATGATATGGTTTGAATAGGTAAATTAAAAATTTTTAAGTTCTTAGACCACATTCAATCTGTGTCAGAAACCTATGCTGTGTCAAATATTTAATTACAATCCAAATTGAGAGCTGTATCAAGCTTGAATGTTGTGTCCATACTTGCCCCAACTGTTCAGGGTTCGACCTCTGCGGTCGTATCAAGCTGCGCCCCAGCGGGGAATTTTATTCTGATAGATAGACTTTGTTTTTTACAGTTAACAATTTACAGATAGTCTGGATTAAATTTGTAAACCTTTATGGGTTGTTATGAAACTTGGACAGAAGCTTATCTTCAAGACAAAGAAATAGCATCTAAAGAAAAAGTTTGAATTTTTTTTTAATTCTGTATTTTACTGATAAATGGACTTACTTTTTAAGTCAACATTACACTTTATCACGGACAGCAGCAATCATAGGCAAGAAAAAGGGTTCCCTGGAACCCCTAACGAATTTTTAATCTATTGTTTTTGCATGCTTAAAGTATGCCATGGTTTTGGGGAAATGTGCTGTGTCCCTAATTTTACTTTAAAGATTTAACAAATACATCATTGTGCTGTGCTGTTTTGTAGATGGGGAAGAAGTCTGGATTTTTATCATTGATTACGAATGATAATGCTCAGCAGGATCCCTGGGATAGCTCTTACAGGTATTCTTTAATTTAATAAATTATATTTTATAAGCTGAGTGCTTAAACAGTTTACAAGTGAAGAAAACTAGATAATCAATTTTGTTGCTTTCAAACTTTTTGTTCTTTAAATAAAGACCAGTTAAGTTTATAGTTTTAAAAACGAACTAGTTGTACATGTATGTCTGTCAGAATTCATGTGTTTAAACAGGCCAATATTTTGCATTATTGGAACATCACTGTTGTGGAACTTTTAATTGATCCAAAAGGGATTTATAAGGAAGCTGAGAATATGTAATGTAATTTAGGAGGAGGGAATTTGGTATATTCATTTCAAAGTCTTAAATATAACTTTTTCTGAAGAGTTATATGAGAAGCATAGAAACATTGACTATATGTTCAATTTGAAGAGATATGTATAATATTTTCAGTCCATGGGTTGATAAATATGAAGAGGCAAAGGAGAACCAGTATAGTGCAGATATGCAGGCAATTCTTGGACTGAAGAAACTTAATGGATCTCTCACTTGTGTAAGTAAAACCATATTATACCCCACTCTAAAAGTAAGGGCTATATTGCAACCACCTTGTCTGTCCTTTCGTCCAACAAATTTTTGTCACACATTTCTCAGAAACTACTAACGATATGACTTCATATTTGTTCAGAAGCTTGACAGGAAGGAATCAGTTGTAATGCATGAGCACTTTTGTTTCTGTCAGATATACTTCATGTTTGCCGATACTTTTGACTTTTTCATATGTTGCATGAACTTAAAAATTTTCCTTGCATTTTTGTGAAAAACTATCATCAGAATGCCTTTCATATTTGGTCAGCAGCTCAGCAATGTTGAACTGTAAAGTGTGAGCATCTATCAAATTTTTCAGATTCCTACTTCCTGTTTGCTGATTCTTTAAATTTTTTAATATGCTGAATGAATTTCAAATATTTTGTTCCTAATTTTCTCAGTAACTACCAAACAGAATTGCACTATATTTGGTCAGCAGCTCAACAAGGACCATCTGTAATGTGTGTGAACATGTTAGATATTTCAGACATCTACTTCCTATTTTCCAATACTTTTGAGTTACGAATGGGAGAATGCTTAGCACAACAACACATGCATTCTGTATGAGTTCTTGTATGAACATCAAATTGATTATTTGATAATTATTTAAAGGAAAATCATCACACTTACCTGTAAGTACTTAGCTGAATAAGAATTGGTTAGTTGGTATCCTGTGTGAGATCTTTTGGGGGGAAAATTTGCTGATCTTTGTTGAATATATGTTCTTCTTTCAGTCTGGTAATTTTAACTACAAAAGAAATGGAAGACTTCTTGTTCAGTTGTGTCATGTTACAGAGGTAAACAAAAATAGAAAGGTAAGGCGTTATTGTGTTTATAAACTGTAATTCAATGTAATCATGGAAATTTTACAGTTCCAACGATTTTAATTTGCTATGTGCATCACAGTCAGTTCTGCTAGTCTTTTTGTCCCCTGCGCAATGTATTGTGGGGGGGGGGGGGGCATAGAAACACTGGGGGGGTCTGTCTGTCTGGTCTAGTAAGCACATTTCTTGCCAGATTTTTATAAAACTTATATCATAGGTTTATATCAGCATTGTTTCGGACAAGGTCAAAAATCAGGAGTTATGCTCCTTGGAAATGTTAATTATATGGAAAATTGCGTTGTAAGTGCTCTCATGTGTACAAATCTTGCCAGATTTTTATGAAACTTGTATCATAGGTTAATATCAGCAATGTCCCCAACAAGTTCGAAAATCAGTGCCGATCAATTATCTTTAATTGATTAATCGTTGGTTAAAGAGTTATGCCCCTTGATAATATTAATTACATGGAAAATTGCATTGTTAGTAGTGGGGCGTTTGTCTTCCTGCGGACAACTTTCTGGTGTACTAGCACTTTAAAGTCCTGCAATAACAGTAGGCTAGCACAAAGCAGTCAAAATTATACATATACCCTTTGGGTTTATTTTATTTTATTTATTCATTTTTTTTTTTTTATGTACATATAAAACTCGTCTCTAATTATTTTTCTTAAATTCACAAACACATAAAACTTTCTCTAAGTATTTTTCTTCAATTCACAAACACATATCTAAGCCTATTTGGGTTTATACAAAATATTTGGCAACTAAATTCACATACACAATTTGGCATATCAAATTTTTCCGCTCTTTACTTGGCTGTAGGTGTACCAGGACAACGTTGCTGCCGCTCATTGTTGATGTTTTATTTTTGGCCTTTTCTCCTGTTCCGGCATTTGGTGGCTCCTATTTTTTTTTTTTTTTTTTTTTATTTACAAAAAAAAATCATTTATTATTTTTTATTTATTTAAGTTCTGTTTATTTTTATGCCCCTTATGATAGTAGTAGGGGCATTATGTTTTCTGGGTTTGTGTGTTCGTTCGTTTGTCCGTCCGTCTGTCCCGCTTCAGGTTAAAGTTTTTGGTCAAGGTAGTTTTTGATGAAGTTGGAAGTCCAATCAACTTGAAACTTAGTACACATGTTCCCTATGATATGATCTTTCTAATTTTAATGCCAAATTAGAGTTTTGACCCCAATTTCAAGGTCAACTGAACATGGAAAAGGATGGTGCCAGATTCAGGTTAAAGTTTTTGGTCAAGGTAGTTATGATAAAGTTGAAGCCCAATCAACTTGAAACTTGGTACACACGTTCCCTATGATATGATCTCTCTAATTTTAATGCCAAATTAGAGTTTTGATCCCAATTTCACGGTCCACTGAACATAGAAAATGATAGTGTGAGTGGGGCATCCGTGTACTATTGACATATTCTTGTAATCTTTGTTTTTATTCATCAATTTATTTATTTATTTACTTTTTTATCAAATTATTGCTCATTTTACTTTTGACTCATGTTATGATTTTTGTCACTCAAAATTATATCAATTACCATAAGGTAAAAATAAATTATTCAAATTCCCCAAAAGACGTAAGCCAGGGCCGGCCGTGCAAGCCTCATAGGTAGTCAAGGTCGTTAAAAACCCCCCTCATCGGCGCATTGTTAGCGCTCTCATGTGTACGAATCTCGTCAGATTTTTATGAAACAAGTTCGAAAATTAGTGCCGATCAATCCTCTTTCATTGATTAATTGTTGGTTAAATATGCCCTTGGAAATATTAATTATACGGAAAATTGCATAGTTAGCGCTCTCATGTATTCAATTTTTGCCTGATTTTAATCAAATTTGTATGAAAGGTTTATATCAGCAATGTCTTTAACAATTTTGAAAATCCGTGCTGATCAAATATTTTTAATAGAGTAATGCCCCTTGAAAATATGAATTATATCAGAAATTGCATTGCCTTTGTTCTCAAGCCTTCATTTCTCATAGATATTTATAAAGAATTTAAAGAACAAAAAAAAAAGTATTTTTTTGTTACTGCCTGTAAAATATGTGGGACATTGGAACTCTTCTTTTATTAATTTGGCATAGATGAAACTGTTATTTATAAACACCCAGCATTTCCTTTTTTTGTGACATCGTTAGAGTGATATATGTATGTAAGATCTTTTTATACGACCGCAAAAAAATTTTCGATCGTATATTGGTATGACGTTGGCGTCGTCGTCGTCGTCCGAAGACACATTGGTTTTCGCACTCTAACTTTAGTTTAAGTGAATGGATCTCTATGAAATTTTACCATAAGGTTCAATACCACAAAAGGAAGGTTGGGATTGTTTTTGGGGGTTACGGTACCAACAGTTAAGGAAAAAGGGCCAAAAATAAGCAGTTTTGTAACTTCCAGACATAACTTGTGAATTAATGTATGGATCTCTCTGACATTATACCAAAAAGTTCCATATCACAAAGGGAATGCTGGGATTGATTTAGGGGGTAATTGCCTCAAAATTTTAGGAATTGGGGGCCAAAAAAGGGGCAAAAAACAAGCATTTTTATAGGGACAAATACTTTAGTACAAAACATAATTTAAAGCAGTGTAAGGGAGATAAATCAAATACATCATTTGAATTACCTCCCTTACACTGCTTTTAAATTATGTATAAAGTAATGGTTAATGAACAATTAAGACAATTTAAAACAGTGTAAGGGAGGTAATCCACATACAACGTTTGATTACTTCCCTTACACTGCTTTTAAATTATGTTTAAAGAAATGCATATTTATAAAGGAAGACCAGTAAAAATATCTGCAAATGTTGCATCTTTTTTTTTTACAAAAAAATCCATATGAAAGATTTGACACCATATTTTAAATTCTATTACTTTTATAGAATAGATTAAGTTAGCACTATGGTAAATTTAAATGGATAATTATGGTTGCAAATTGCATTGGAAATTTGAATCGAGATTATGACCATATCTTGAGGGAAAGATTTTTTTCGGGGGAAAATGGGGGGGGGGGGGGTAAAAAGAAATTGTGGGGGGGGGGGTCAATTTTTTCTCATTTCAGATTTCAGAAATTAAAAAGAATTATTCTTCAAATATTATTTTTTTTTCAAATTTCAAATATTGAAAAATTTCAAGAAGTAATCTTTAATTGCACAGTATGGCGCATTAGATTTGTAAAATCTTTGACCACATTTGTTTATTTGTTATGCCAAATCTGACCGTGTATTTAGATTTTTAATTTTTGGTCCAGTTTTCAAATTGGTCTACATTAAGGTCCAAAGGGTCCAAAATTAAACTTAGTTTGATTTTAACAAAAATTGAATATATGGGGTTCTTTGATATGCTGAATCTAAACATGTATTTAGATTTTTGATTTCGGGACCAGTTTTCAAGTTGGTCCAAATTGGGGTCCAAAATTAAACTTTGTTTGATTTCAACAAAAATTGAATACATGGGGTTCTTTGATATGCTGAATCTAACCATGTATTTAGATTTTTTATTTGTGGGCCCGCTATCAAATTGGTTCATATTGAGGTCAAAAGGGTCCAAAATTAAACTTTGTTTTATTTCATCAAAAATTGAATTATTGGGGTTCTTTGATATGCCAAATCTAACTGTGTATTTAGATTTTTAATTTTGGGTCCAGTTTTCAAATTGGTCTACATTAAGGTCCAAAGGGTCCAAAATTAAACTTAGTTTGATTTTAACAAAAATTGAATTCTTGGGGTTCTTTGATATGCTGAATCTAAATATGTGTTTAGATTTTTGATTATGGGCCCAGTTTTCAAGTTGGTCCAAGTTGGGGTCCAAAATTAAACTTAGTTTGATTTTAACAAAAATTGAATTCTTGGGGTTCTTTGATATGCTGAATCTAAATATGTGTTTAGATTTTTGATTATGGGCCCAGTTTTCAAGTTGGTCCGAGTTGGGGTCCAAAATTAAACTTTGTTTGATTTCAACAAAAATTGAATTCTTGGGGTTCTTTGATATGCTGAATCTAAACATGTGTTTAGATTTTTGATTATGGGCCCAGTTTTCAAGTTAGTCCAAGTTGGGGTCCAAAATTAAACTTTGTTTGATTTTAACAAAAATTAAACATATGGGGTTCTTTGATATGCTGAATCTAACCTTGTATTTTGATTTTTGGGCCCAGTTATCAAATTGGTCTACATTGAGGTCAAAAGGGTCCAAAATTAAACTTTGTTTGATTTCATCAAAAATTGAATTCTTTGGATTCTTTGATATGCTGAATCTAACCATATATTTAGATTTTGGATATTGGACCATAATAGGTAAATTAAAAAATTTTAAGTTCTTAGACCACATTCATTCTGTGTCGGAAACCTATGCTGTGTCAAATATTTAATCACAATCCAAATTGAGAGCTGTATCAAGCTTGAATGTTGTGTCCATACTTGCCCCAACTGTTCAGGGTTCGACCTCTGCGGTCGTATCAAGCTGCGCCCAGCGGAGCATTATATTTATGTGGTGTAGTTAGTTCAAATTTTATTTTATTTCTCCTTGGCTGATAAAAATTTCAGGTTTCCAACAATAACCCTAAGCACATGAATTTTATTTTATTTTTTACAGGGATTGGAAGCATCTGAGACAATTGGTGAAGGAGAACCTATCATTGAATACACTGGCAATGTTATGTTACGAGAACAATTTGACAAGGCCAATTTTTATAAAAGGTGAATAACTTATTTTATTGTCTTGCCTCAACAAAGTTTAAAAAATCGAGACTTAGGCAAGCTGTTTCCGGCAGCAGGGTCAGCAATGTATTAGTTTGTGTTAAGGTCCGTTAATGGAAAACTTCCAGTGGAGGGTCAGTGATATTAGGTAAGAAGTTGTATTAGTATTGGCACATCTCATTTCCATAGAGATTACCAAGCCCCTCCCACTCAGTCATGGTCTATTGACTTTGAAAGTTTTGCTTGGTTTTCATGTTCAAGTTTGTGATTAGATTTGATTGCCAATGAAAAAACTATCCAACTGTACCTATTTAAGGCCATAAAAAAGAATAGGTTGGTTTGCCCTAACCCGACTGACCCATTAAAAAGCACCTGAGTCAAAATCTTTTTTTATTCAAAATTTGCGATGTTTTTTGGTTTTTTTTTGCGGAGTTAAGGTCCAAAGGTTCCAAAATTAAACTTAGTTTGATTTTAACAAAAATTGAATTCTTGGGGTTCTTTGATATGCTGAATCTAACCGTGTATGTATTTAGGTTTTGGATATTGGACCATAATAGGTAAATTAAAAAATTTTAAGTTCTTAGACCACATTCATTCTGTGTCATAAACCTATGCTTTGTCAAATATTAAATCACAATCCAAATTGAGAGCTGTATCAAGCTTGAATGTTGTGTCCATACTTGCCCCAACTGTTCAGGGTTTGACCTCTGCGGTTGTATCAAGCTGCGCCCAGCGGAGCATTTTATTTTCTAAAAGTATAAAAAAACAAACTTCCCTCCCTACCTACCTACCCACACCTGAGACTGGTGGGTAGGGTTTGGGCAAACAGAAATATTTTTAAGTCTGGCCTAAGCATTTATAGGTCACTATATGGCCTTCAATAATGAGTAAAATCAATACTGTAATCCAATTGAAATTATATTGCTCTGCCCTCAAATCATGGCTCATTGACTTTGAAACTTTACAAAGTTTACACATTAAATTTGGGTTTGGGTTAGTAAAGGGAACCACTTATGATAAGTCCTTGGTATCTGGTATGCAGTTTTACAAACATTGTCATTTCCATCTCATTTCCATGATTGATTTCATTCTCATTTCCATGGAGATTATTTGGCCCTGCACCTTGAGTCATGGTTTATTGACTTGGAGTGTTTTGCATAATTTACATGTTTAAGATTCAACATTTGTATTAAACTATCAAAATTACAAATAAGAGAGACATCTCTGTCAACCGTTTATTATCTCTCTCTTTTCCCATCATTACAAGACTTGTAATGTATTTAAATGGGTAATTATGGTTTTTTTTTTAAAAAGGTGGGGGAGGTGAAAAAAAATATGGGGGAGGGGGGGGGGGGGGTAAAAAAAGAAATTGTGAGGGGGGGACAATTTTTTCTCATTTCAGATTTCAGAAATTAAAAAAGAAAATTTCTTCCAATTTTTTTTTGGGGGGAGGGGGGGTGGGTCAATTTGCAACAGCATAGTGTATTGCACAAAAGCAAAAAAAGGGGAAAAATTTTTATTTTGGGGGGGGGTTTCAATTCGCAACAGCATAGTGTATTGTACGAAAGCAAAAAATTGAATATAAATTCAAATCATAATAACCAATTCTAAGTTCTTTGACTACAGTTATTCTGTGTCAGAAACCTATAATGTGTCAAATATTTAATTACAATCCAAATTCAGACCTGTATCAAGCGCGAATATTGTGTCCATTTTTGCCCCAACTACTGTTCAGGGTTGGACCTCTGCGGTCATATAAAGCTGCGCTAGGCGAAGAAATTTATTAAAAGTATATGATGCTGTCTGCCAACAAACATGGCCACCATGGTTAACAATAACACATCGGCTTACAATGCTAGTAGTCAACTAATATCTTCAAAACCATTTCAAATGTGAAATCTGAAGGGCAAATAAGTTCAGAATATCAAGATCTGCTCACTGTTCATTATGACCAAAACTGATTAAGAAGTTAGGCCAATGACCCCAAGAAAAAGAAATTAAGAGGTCAACATATGAAAAAGCACCTATACAAAGTTTCAAGTAAATCTTAAATTTCAACTGCTAAATTTGTGAAACTTGAAAAGAAGAACAGACACAGTGTTTCCTTGCCATAAAGTCTACCAATCTTTTGTCACTTACTTGATAGATGAGGTTGATTCCCAGAAACTTAAGCCTCCATAATGCCACCTACGCTGAGGAAAACTTTGTTACTGTATCGCTTAACAGTTGCATATAAGTCTTGCTTTCTAAATTTCTTTGATTCATAATGCTTGTTTAATTGTTGACTGTAGAAACAAGGATCATAAAATAATCTTTATGTATTTTTCAGGTTAAATCCATTTGTATTATTTAATTCCATGTTTGATAACATAGAACTGTGTATAGATGCTACAACATATGGAAACATTGCCAGGTTCATAAGAAGATCATGTAAATCTAATGCTGAGGTAAGTAATAAGTGTTTATAAAAGTGAGATGTCAACACAAAGTTGGTTCTTGTCTAACAGACTTTGGAAAATTTCATATTTGTCTGTGAGACTGAAATCTGACAGAATGCAAACTATTACTGCTGATACAAACAATTTGGTGATTCTTAATTTTTTTGCCCCTTAGTTTTAATAAGAGGGTGGAAATTGGGGGGTAGAAATCCCTGTCAGCAAGTAGAAATGTAAATGCAGTCATTTTCCTGACCCATAATTGCAAACTGATTGGGCCACACTGAAACAAACGTTCTTCAACTGGTAAAAAAATTGATGATTTCTGGTGACAATTATTACAAAGAAAACTGAAAACCATTGCCTTATGATATGAACAATTAACAAAGAAAACTGAAAACCAGTGCCTAATGATCTGAACAACTAAGAAAACTTAAAAAAAGTGCCTTATGATCTGAACAACTAACAAAGAAAACTGAAAACCAGTGCCTTATGATCTGAACAACTAACAAAGAAAACTGAAAACCAGTGCCTTATGATCTGAACAACTAACAAAGAAAACTGAAAACCAGTGCCTTATGCTCTGAACAACTAACAAAGAAAACTGAAAACCAATGCCTTATGATCTGAACAACTAACAAAGAAAACTGAAAACCAGTGCCTTATGCTCTGAACAATTGACAAAGAAAACTGAAAACCAATGCCTTATGATCTGAACAGCTAACAAAGAAAACTGAAAACCAGTGCCTTATGATCTGAACAACTGACAAAGAAAACTGAAAACCAGTGCCTTATGCTCTGAACAATTGACAAAGAAAACTGAAAACCAATGCCTTATGATCTGAACAACTAACAAAGAAAACTGAAAACCAGTGCCTTATGATCTGAACAATTGACAAAGAAAACTGAAAACCAGTGCCTTATGATCTGAACAACTAACAAAGAAAACTGATAACCGGTGCCTTATGATATGAACAATTGACAAAGAAAAACTGAAAACCAGTGCCTTATGATCTGAACAACTAACAAAGAAAACTGAAAACCAGTGCCTTATGATCTGAACAACTGACAAAGAAAACTGAAAACCAGTGCCTTATGATCAGAACAACTAACAAAGAAAACTGAAAACCAGTGCCTTATGATCTGAACAACTAACAAAGAAAACTGAAAACCAGTGCCTTATGATCTGAACAATTAACAAGGAAAAAACTGAAAACAAGTGCCTTATGATCTGAACAACTAACAAAGAAAACTGAAAACCAGTGCCTTATGATCTGAACAACTAACAAAGAAAACTGAAAACCAGTGCCTTATGATCTGAACAACTGACAAAGAAAACTGAAAACCAGTGCCTTATGATCTGAACAACTAACAAAGAAAACTGAAAACCAGTGCCTTATGATCTGAACAACTAACAAAGAAAACTGAAAACCAGTGCCTTATGATCTGAACAACTGACAAAGAAAACTGAAAACCAGTGCCTTATGATCTGAACAACTAACAAAGAAAACTGAAAACCAGTGCCTTATGATCTGAACATCTAACAAAGAAAACTGAAAACCAGTGCCTTATGATCTGAAAAACTAACAAAGAAAACTGAAAACCAGTGCCTTATGATCTGAACAACTAACAGAAAACTGAAAACCAGTGCCTTATGATCTGAACAATTAACAAAGAAAACTGAAAACCAATGCCTTATGATCTGAACAACTGACAAAGAAAACTGAAAACCAGTGCCTTATGATCTGAACAACTAACAAAGAAAACTGAATACCAGTGCCTTATGATCTGAACAACTACAATTCCTCACACATCTCTCTGTGTCTATACAAAACATTAAAATAGCTGAATATAATGTAATATTGGCGGTAAGGGAAGACAAGATGAATTTCATGGTCTGGTATACAAAGGATAGAATCATCTTCCTTGAAATCTGATCTTAATCAGGTCTGTTTTATTTACATTAGAGTCAATTTTATATATATTGTTTTTATGCCCCCGCCGTAGCAGAGGGGGCATTAAGTTTTACCCTTTTCCGTCCGTATGTACGTCCCAAAGTTGGTTTCCGTTCTCTAACTTTAGTTTGCCTCAACCAAATGTTATGAAAATTATACACAATACTTATTACCACAAAATACAGATCAAATTTGAATTTTGATGGTGTCACTTTAACTGTTCTAGAGTTACTATTTATTTTGTAGGTTAAACATACATTTGAAGATGGAGAATTAACATTTATTGTTGTATCAACAAAAGTCATCCCCAGGGGTTCTGAAATAACCATACCATATGATTATAATTACAAAGAATGGTAAGTATTCAACAATTACAAATCTTACGCAGAAATAACCATACCATATGATTATAATTACAAAGAATGGTAAGTATTATACCATATGATTATAATTACAAAGAATGGTAAGTATTATACCATATGATTATAATTACAAAGATTGGTAAGTATTCAACAATTACAAATCTTACTCTGAAATAACCATACCATATGATTATAACTATGAATTAAAAAAAGTGATAAGCATCAAAACAACAACCAAAATCATTTCAAAATGTTCTGTACTGTAGTACCCAATGTTTTGAAAGTTTCCCAGCCTATGATAGTGTGGGTTTATAATGTTTTCTTGTCAGTCCCATATCAGGTTTAAGTTTTATGGTTAATGTAATCCAACAGGAAGTTCACATCAACTTAGTACCATGTTCATTGTGATGAAAACTTTTAAAATTATATGACAAATTATAGTTGTGACCATGGTTTCACGGTTCACTGAACTTGGAAATGTGATAGTATGAAATCAGTAGATTCTCATGTTAAAAGTTTTTGATTGTGGTAGTTTACCATGAAATTGTTTTCACATTAAGTTATGACTTGAACTTTTTGAATATGTGCCAAATTATATAGTGTTGGCAATGGTTTTAGGGTTCACTGAATATTATGTTTATTCACCATTTCAGTACATATTGTGTGGAATGTGCCTGTCTGAGGAATAATTGTCCTGTAGCAAAGTATTTCAAGAGGAAACAAAATGCTCAAAACAAGTAAGCTATGATGTTTTTATAAGCCTGTCAAAGACCAACATATAATGCATACTAGTAATGGTATTCAATTGTCCATCCACCCTTGTCCGTCCGTACGTCCACAAATTGGTTTCCGTTCTCTAACTTGAGTTTGCCTCAACCAAATGTTATGAAACTTATACACAATGCTAATTACCACAAAACACAGATCAAGTTTGAATTTTGGTGGTGTCACTTTTACTGTTCTAGAGTTATACCCCTTTACAAATGGAAAATTTTTCGTTTCTGTTCTCTAACTTAAGTTTGCCTCAACCAAATGTTATGAAACTTGTACACAATACTTATTACCACAAAACTCAGATCAAGTACAAATTTGGGTAGCGTCACATTTACCGTTCTTCAGTTATGTCCCTTTATAACTTTATATGATATGCAAGCGGGGGCATCATCTGTGTCCCATGGAGACATTCCCCATTTATTTCTTCATGTAAAGTACAAAATGTGCACAGATTGTTTATTTTGTTCAATAAATTTTCACAAAAATTGCATGCTATTACTTGTTAATCTTGTATAGTGTATATGTCTTGTTGAACCGTTTGAAAATAGTAATGCCATAGAACTTGTGTATTTTTGTTGTTGTTTATATATATTTGTAGGAAAGAAAAAGAAAAAGTAGTGCAAAAAAATGTGGTAAAAGCTGTAAAAACTCCGACAACGCCGGTTAAAGTCATTAATCATCAACCCAAATCACCAAGATCACCGGCAGCAAGCCTTCCTCGTTCACCTGTCAAATCTCCCATTAGGAAGTCCATTAGCATTGAGGAGCCTATTATAAAAGAGGAAATAGACGAGGTTAAACCAGAGGTGCCTCCTCCACCACCTCCTCCTGTGGTATCTCCTGTCAAAGAATCTGTCATGGAGGAACGACTTCCAGAAGTCAAAGAGGTAATTTTTTAGTTATTTAACTTCAAAACCTCAATGATTTTAAGCCAAGTCAGGGAAAATACAAAGAAATAGCCTACTTATTAGGTCTAAGACTTTACTAACATTTGTTTTTCTGCTTGATGATCAATTTCATTTTAAAATGAAAAACAAAATAGTTTGTTAAATACAGATTTTTTTAGGGCTTACAGTTCAGTGTTTATTTTTTGCATTGGGAATATTAAGGAAATAATCCCAGAAATTCATATTTAGAAATAACTGCCTGTTAAGGATTACTGCTGTTCTTTGCAATGCATTGTATTTCATAAATGAACATGTTTTTTAGGAAATTCCCCAAGACCCCAGCACAGACAGTGGTACAGATCATCAAGATACACATAGTGAAAGTGAGGAGAACCCTTCAACAGAAAGAACAAGAAGACTTGTAAGTACAGTACTGACTTGCTTAACCTAATTTGTGAAAATTTGCCTAGTCATCTTATGCAGTTGCCAACTGATTCAACTGGACTGGCAAGCAAAAGTGACCACTACTAGGGAATGGACAGAAACTGTCTACTATATTATTACATTGTATCAGGATGGTACACATTTACTTTGGTTTTGCTTATTATACCCCACAGAACAAAGTTCTGTAGGGCATCATGTTTTTAACCTGTCAGTCCTGTTATTGTCATCACTCCTCTGAAACCACACAACAGAATTATATGTAACTTTATAATGTTGTATGCAAGTGGGGGCATCATCTGTGTCCATGGGGACACATTCTCCATTTATTGTTGAAAAGAGCCTGTACTTCTAACTATTATATTTTCTCTCGTTCAACAATTGCATCTAGCAACAGTGATTTTCCTACCCTTTTTCAAATGGGGCCTGGGCCCTAGGCAATTGGGAAAAATGTGTTGTATAACGTATGAATTGGGAAGAAACAAATCATTGTGTTCAACATATTTTAATGGTGTTATTTAGTATTTTAAAATTCCAATTTTTATGCCCCCGCTGTAGCAGTGGGGGCATTAAGTTTTACCTTTGTCCGTCTGTAAGTACGTACCTACGTACGTCCCAAAATTGGTTTCAGTTCTCTAACTTGAGTTTGTTTCAACCAAATGTTATGAAACTTATACACAATGCTTATTACCACAAAACACAGATCAAGTTTGAATTTTGGTGGCGTCACTTTAACAGTTCTAGAGTTATGCCCCTTTATAAATGGAAAAATTGCAAATTTTTAGTTTCCGTTCTCTAACTTGAGTTTGCCTCAACCAAATGTTATGAAACTTATACACAATGCTTATTACCACAAAACTCAGATCAAGTTCAAATTTGGGTAGCATCACTTTTACCGTTCTTCAGTTATGTCCCTTTATAACTATATGATATGCCAGCGGGTGCATCATCTGTGTCCACATGTGGACACTATCCACATTTATTTATTGTTGTCTGGGCCCATGTGGTGGCATTCATCACTGCTTACTGTAAATAATGCGGTCAAATTATGATCACCTAAAACATTAGATTTACTTTGATTGGTTGTAAGGAAACGTTCACTTAATATTTTAAGTGAAGGGGGAAAAAATTTCAGTTGACCTTTCTCAAGTAACGAATTTGTATTTTGATCTGTTATAAATTTTGCCTTCTGAACAAAGTGTTATTTGAAACAGTTTATTGAAAGTATAATAATAACTATTATTTGATTTTCAGTCAAGGGAAGATAGAAAAATGGAAGCCATTATGAAGGCTTTTGAGAAAATGGAGAAGAGGCAAGAAAGACGAAAAGAAGCCTTAGCAAGAATGGATCATACTACTAAAAAACCAGCTGCAATAGGTATTAAGCAAACAGAAGAACCCAAGAAAGAGAAATTGAAAGCAAAGGTAATACCAACATCAGTCAAAATACTACAAGCTAGTTATGTTAAAGTAGAGGTAGGGCAACACATGGAATCTCACTCATTCAACCCTAAAACAGATTTGTGTGTTAAATATAGCATCTGATGAAGGATATAATTAAAGGAATTCATTTTGTACTTCTGATTGTTACATTAAGATAACATGTTTGTTGAAGATTTTGTAAGATTAGGATGGAAATTTTAGTAGTTTTGGGGTAAAGATTGCATGAAATGCAATCAAAACCCTGTGGTACTGACTTGATATCTATATCTTCCTAGGTTCATCACTACCTTTGATAGTTTAAACAAAATAGTGCAGTGAAGTGATCATTATTTAGATCCTATCCACTCAATGTCATGCAATTTATTAGTCCCCTACCGACAAAGTCGAAGGGGACTTTAGGTTTGCACTCCGTCCGTCTGTCTGTCTGTCTGTCCATCCGTCAGTTCAGCAAATCAGTTTTCCAGACTTTTTTTCTTAGTGCTTGAAGATATTGATTTGATATTTGGTTTATTGATTTATCATGACAAGTTACAGGTCAAGTTCAATTTTCACGATTTTAGCTTTTCTCTTTGTTCAGTTAAAGCCCTTTCCCTAGAATTAAATTTTTGATGAAATACTTATTAATTAGTAGATCTCTGTTCAAAGGGAAATAACTCATTTTTTAAAAGACAAAATGACATTTTGGATTTTTTTCCTTTTCTTTGGTAAATTATTTGAAGAATTTAGTGGTAGGTTTGTTGGTCATTCTTGAAGATATTGATTTGATAATTAGTATATAGTTTTATCATGACGAGTTACAGATCAAGTTGGAATTTTGTTCCAGTCTGATAATTTGTGCAGAGTTATGGTCTTTGGACATAGAAAATTCACTTAAATAATCAGTTTTCAACAGTTTTTATACGACCGCAAAAATTGAAAATTTTTTGGTCGTATATTGGTATGACGTTGGCGTCGTCGTCGTCGTTGTCCGGCGTCGTCCGAAGACACATTGGTTTTCGCACTCTAACTTTAGTTTAAGTGAATGGATCTCCATGAAATTTTACCATAAGGTTCAGTACCACGAAAGGAAGGTGGGGATTGATTTTGGGGGTTATGGTACCAACAGTTAAGGAATTAGGGGCCAAAAAGGGGCCAAAAATAAGCATTTTTGTAACTTCCAGACAATAACTTGTGTGTAAGTGTATGGATCTCTCTGACATTGTACCACAAGGTTCCATATCACAAAGGGAAGGCTGTAATTGATTTTGGGGGTAATTGCCTCAAAATTTTAGGAATTAGGGGCCAAAAAAGGGGCAAAAAACAAGCATTTTTTCTAGTTTCATGACAATAACTTGTGTGTAAGTGTTTGGATATTTCTGAAATTGTACTACAAGGTTCCATATCACAAAGGGAAAGCTGGAATTGAGTTTGGGGGTAATTGCCCGAAACGTTTAGGAATTGGGGGCCAAAAAGGGGCCAAAAATAAGCATTTTTCTAGTTTCCAGACAATAACTTGTGTTCAAGTGTATGGATCTCTCTGAAATTGTACTGCAAGGTTCCATATCACAAAGGGAAAGCTGGAATTGAGTTTGGGGGTAATTGCCCGAAACGTTTAGGAATTGGGGGCCAAAAAGGGGCCAAAAATAAGCATTTTTCTAGTTTCCAGACAATAACTTGTGTTCAAGTGTATGGATCTCTCTGAAATTGTACTGCAAGGTACCATACCACAAAGGGAAGGCTGGGATTGAGTTTGGGGTGATGAATCATAAGGGGGTTCAAAAAATTTGGTGGGGGGGGTATTTTTTTTTTTCTTTTTTTCCTTTTTTTTTTCTTTTAAAATTTTCCATTTTAAGTTGGTTATTTCTGATTAATATTTAAAAGCAAATAATAATGATATGGTAGGAGATACACACCAAACAGGATGTGTAAATTATTATATAATAAGTATTGTGCAATAGCAAGAAATTTTCAATTGCACAGTATTGCACAATTGCAAGAAATCTTCAATTGCACAGTATTGCGCAATAGCAAGAAATCTTCAATTGCACAGTATTGCGCAATAGCAAGAAATATCCAATAGCACAATATTGCGCAATAGCAAGAAATTGTCAATTGTACAGTATTGCACAATAGCAAGAAATATTCAATTGCACAGTTTTGTGCAAAAGAAGATACTTCGTATAAATTGCTTATTTCTTGATCAATTTCAATGGGGTTTTATTCTTGAATTCTTGGGGTTCTTTAATATGCTGAATCTAACCGTGTATTAAGTTTTTGGATTTTGGGCCCCGTTTTTAAATTGGTCCACATTGAGGTCCAAAGGGTCCAAAATTTAACTTTGTTTGATTTCATCAAAAATTGAATTATTGGGGTTCTTTGATATGCCGAATCTAACCGTGTATTTAGATTCTTAATTTTTGGTTCCGTTTTCAAATTGGTCTACATTAAGGTCAAAAGGGTCCAAAATTAAACTTAGTTTGATTTTAACAAAAATTGACTTTTTAGGGTACTTTGATATGCTGAATCTAAACATGTATTTAGATTTTTGATTATGGCCCAGTTTTCAAGTTGGTGCAAATCGGGGTCCAAAATTAAACTTTGTTTGATTTCATCAAAAATGAATTCTTGGGGTTCTTTGATATGCTGAATCTAACCATGTATTTAGATTTTTTATTTGTGGACCCGCTATCAAATTGGTTCATATTGAGGTCAAAAGGGTCCAAAATTAAACTTTGTTTGATTTCATCAAAAATTGAATTATTGGGGTTCTTTGATATGCCAAATCTAACCGTGTATTTAGATTCTTAATTTTGGGTCCCGTTTTTAAATTGGGTCTACATTAAGGTCCAAAGGGTCCAAAATTAAACTTAGTTTGATTTTAACAAAAATTGAATTCTTGGGGTTCTTTGATATGCTGAATCTAAACATGTGTTTAGATTTTTGATTATGGGCCCAGTTTTCAAGTTGGTCCAAGTTGGGGTCCAAAATTAAACTTTGTTTGATTTCAACAAAAATTGAATATATGGGGTTCTTTGATATGCTGAATCTAAACATGTATTTAGATTTTAGATTTTTGGCCCAGTTTTCAAGTTGGTCCAAATTGGGGTCCAAAATTAAACTTTGTTTGATTTCAACAAAAATTGAATATATGGGGTTCTTTGATATGCTGAATCTTACCATGTATTTAGATTTTTTATTTTGTGGGCCTGCTATCAAATTGGTTCATATTGAGGTCAAAAGGGTCCAAAATTAAACTTTGTTTGATTTCATCAAAAATTTAATTATTGGGGTTCTTTGATATGCCAAATCTAACCGTGTATTTAGATTTTTAATTTTGGGTCCCGTTTTTTAAATTGGTCTACATTAAGGTCCAAAGGGTCCAAAATTAAACTTAGTTTGATTTTAACAAAAATTGAATTCTTGGGGTACTTTGATATGCTGAATCTAAACATGTGTTTAGATTTTTGATTATGGGACCAGTTTTCAAGTTTGTCCAAGTTGGGGTCCAAAATTAAACTTTGTTTGATTTCAACAAAAATTGAATATATGGGGTTCTTTGATATGCTGAATCTAACCATGTATTTTGATTTTGGACATTGGACCATAATAGGTAAATTAAAAAAATTGAAGTTCTTAGACCACATTCTTTCTGTGTCAGAAACCTATGCTGTGTCAAATATTTAATCACAATCCAAATTCAGAGCTGTATCAAGCTTGAATGTTGTGTCCACACTTGCCCCAACTGTTCAGGGTTCGACCTCTGCGGTCGTATCAAGCTGCGCCCAGCGAAGCATTTTATTTTCTTCATGCTTGAAGATTTTGACTTGATATTTTTATGTAGTTTACACCATGACAAGTTATATATCAAGTTAGAATTTCGTTCCATTACAATGAATTTGTAACTGTTAGGGGACTATGTATTGCCATGCAATACTCACAGAATGCTTGTTGATTATATGTTATACTTTGATATATAAGTTACAATATGATGTGTATTTGAATTACCATACTTGTCAAGACAAATTTTTTTTTATTAAAAATTACATTAGTAGTGCATGGTATATGAATCTGTTATAAAAATAGGTTCAACTACAAATGTACAATCATGAACAAAGGAAGATAACTCCAACTTAAATTTAAACTTGCATAGCAAAATATAATTTCGATGTTTTATTTAAAAATTCACAAAATTGCAAAATGAAAGCAATCTTTACCCTTCAGTGATCACAAGCACTTTGATTAACTAAAGTCACTACAGTGTCCACAGAAACTAATAGAAAAGGTTAACTGACATTTATGGTTAATAGGTAGGAAGTCAACAAAAATAAAACAAATATTTTAAAGTTTGGAAGTTTCTAACTAATCTTTGTCATTCTAGTGTCAGGAACCAAAAGAAACGAAAGAAACAAGAACAAGTGAGAGAATAAGTAATGCTGAAGAGGCAAAGAAAGAGAAAGCCAAGATAGTTGAGAAAGTTGAAGTGAAACCTATAGTGGAAGAACCTGTACCAACACTTCCCGATCCACCAGCCCTTCCTGTTACACCAGTCCTACCCATTACACCAGCCCTTCCAGTCAAGAAAGAACTTAAAGTTTCTCACAAGTATGTGTTTATAGTTTATTATATTGAGATTTAACACAACTTTCTATACATTTGTACAATGTCTCTTGTAAATTAATTTTTTTGGTGGAAGAAATTTGAATGGTGAGGGTTATGCCATCCTTAAATTATTAACTTGCAGACATAGGTACATACCAGTAGATAGAATAAGTCTTGTCATTTTAAAAAAATTATGGAAGGGAGTTTTTACTTCTTACAGTAGTGGTCAGAGACTGAAGTGATCTGTATAGATAGATGTTAACTAAGTTTTTAGACCAGGCCTTTCTCACAGATACCAGAAATTGTGAAAAAAAAAGTAGAAGAAAATTATAATAAACAAATTATTATACATGATTTCATTTCTGGAAAAGAGCATCAAAATGACTGCTTAATTTGTGAATGGATAACAATTTTTATATGACCACAAAATTGTTCCATTTGTATTATGTTATGGCAATGTCTGTGTCATCGTCGAAGACATTTTGGTTTGCAGACAATAACTTTGAGTATAAGTGTATGGAGCTCTTTGAAATTGTAGCACAAGGTTCCATACCACATGGGGTTGATTTTGGGGGTTATTGTCCTAGCTGTTATGAATTACGGGCCAAAACGGGGCCAAAAACAAGCATTTATCTTGTTTCAGGACAATAGCTTGTGTTTAAGTGTATGGATCTCTATGAAATTTTACAACAAGGTTTCATACCTCAAAAGGAATGTTTGGATTGATTTTGGGACATGGCCCTAACCGTGGAGGAATAAGGGGCCAAAAAACTAGGATTTTCTGGTTTCTGGACAATAACTTGAGTATTAGTCTATGGATCGCTATGAAATTGTACCACAAGGTTCCATACCATAAAAGGAAGGTTGTGTTAGAGTTTGGTAGTTGTGACCCTTACCATTTAGGAAAAAGGGGCCAAAAACAAAACTTTTGTAATACTTTGTATAAATTGCTTATTTCTTGACCAATTTCAATGGGGTTTAATTCAAAGTCTTAATTCCCAGGAATCTAACCGTGTATTTAGAATTTGGATTTTGGGTCCTGTTTTTGAATTGGTCCATATTATGGTCTAAATGGTCCAAAATTAAACTTTGTTTGATCTCATCATAAATTGAATTATTGCTGTTCTTTGATATGCTGAATCTAACCGTGTATTTAGATTTTTAATTTGGGGCCTGTTTTCAAATTTGTCCACATTAAGGTCCAAAGGGTCTAATATTAAACTTTGTTTGATTTAAAAAAAAAAAAGAATACATGGGGTTCTTTGATATGCAGAATCTAACTGTGTATTTAGATTTTTGATTTTGGGACTGGTTTTCAAATTGGTCTACATTAAAGTCCACAGGGTCCAAAATTAAACTTTTTTTGTTTGATTTATCAAAAATTTAATTCAAGGGGTTCTTTGATATGCGGAACAAACATGTATTAAGATTTTTGATTTTGGGCCTAGTTTTCAAGTTGGTCCAAATTGGGGTCCAAAATTAAAATTTGTTAATTTCAACTAAAATTGAATATATGAGGTTCATTGATATGTTGAATCTAACCGTGTATTTAGATTTTGGATTTTCGGCCATGTTATCAAATTGGTCCACATTGAGGTCAAAAGCGTCCAAAATTAAACTGTTTGGTTTCATCAAAAATTGAAATTCTTGGGGTTCTATGAAATGCTGAATCTAACCGAGTATTTAGATTTTGGATATTGGACCATAATAAGTTAAAGTCCAATTTCACAATTTTTAGATCTTAGACCACATTTATTCTGTGTCAGAAACCTATGATGTGTCAAATATTTACTCACAATCCAAATTCAGAGCTGTATCAAGTTTGAATGTAGTGTCCATACTTGCCTCAACTGTTAAGGGTTGGACGTCTGCGGCCATATCAAGCTGCATCCCGCGGAGCATTTTATTGTCCCAAAAATTGTTTCCAGTACAAAATTTTCATCACATAAAACATAAAAAGTTTTATTGATATATTTCTTGAAATTCAAATTTAGTTGGTATAGTGAATACTTGAATACATATAATATTTTATGAATTGTATTCATTGATTCCATCATTAATTTTTTTTCACAGGAAAAAGAAAAAGTCATCATCAAAAAGGTAAAATCAACTTTATCCTTTCAGAGGCTACAATATTTTTGCACAAATAATAGTTATCTCAATTAGCCTTTCTGTGTTTCAAAAAGTTAAAATGATATTGTGATAATTATTTGCAATGTAAATTCATAATAATTCGTGAACCATTTGAAAAAGTTTGTAGGTAAAACAATAATGCAGGTATGCAAGTATTTAAACCTATTGTATATTTTTGTAGGAAGTCTAGGATAAACAGCAGCAATATTGTAAAGTCTGAGCCTCAGTCACAAGATGAATCTAGTAATACCACACCTAGCTGTCCATCCACTCCAGTCTCAGCACCTCCTGATGTCTCTAATACACCTCCATCATTCAAGTTCTTAAAAACCAAGAAGGTTAGGACACTACTTGTACTTGATTGCTTTTAGTATTGGTTACAGAATTGGCACTTAAATTAACCCAAAAAATAATAATTAACATATGTTAAATATCAGTGTCCAAAAAATATTTTGGCTGCCATTTGTAACCTTGAAAACTCACAACGTTTTTTATCTCAACTGACCTCATCACTTTGCTACCGTCGTCTGCTAATTTTTTCAAGAATCTTCTCCTTTGAAACTACTCGGCCAAATGGAACCAAACAAAAGCTTAACATTTAAGATTAAAATACTAAAATGTAGAATTGCCCTGAATAATAGTATAATATGCATTAAAACAAATACTTATCTTTAATGTTTTAGCATTTAATGAATGAATGGTTGAGTGAGAAGAGTCAGGATGTTGTTCCTTCACTGCCACCACCGCCACCATCTGGCCAACCGTCTGGCCAACCATCCAAAATAGAGCCATTGGAAGTACAGGTAGAGGAGGATACAATGTATGTAGCCTGTCGTCCAAGTCCCAGGAATGCTCTGGATCATTTGAGGAGGAATAGTACCAGTGCAGGATGCAGTCCTTATAGCAATCTATCATCATCATCAAAACAAGAAAGCAGCATAGGCTCAGCAAAAAAGGTAAGTTCCTATGAAATAGTTTAAGGACATCATATGTAAATGAAAACAATATAGACTCTATTCAGTTGTTGTTTAAAATGGTTACACTTTTAGATTATTAGAGCAAAATAAAATGTCAGGTACAATTATAAAGATTATTTAAAGCCCCTTTCTCCATTACCCATACATTGCTAGTTAAGCCCTGATGTTTACCATATAAAAAAAAATTCTATAAGTTACTTCTATTTTTGTTAATTTATAGCGATGGCTTAGACAGGCTATGTTTGATAAACCAGTCCCACAGAAAAGATCTTTATCACCACTAGGGCTTGCAGGAGGTACAAGTCCTAACCCACATGTCAGTCTACCAAGTCCAGGAGGATCACCCCCTGGGGGTAAGTACATTGCGCACTACCAAGCTCAATGTCACCTATAAGACACAATGGTGGTAGAAATAACAACATTGGGATCTCAACACCCTTTGGAAGAACATTTCATCACAATTAAACTGTGACAAGTTCTTTGCATGATTAAATCATATTGTCTCATTAAATTTCTTTCTGCATGCATAAAACAGTATAATATGCAGTCTTTCATATATTATTATGAATACTGTAAAATCAGAAATTATTGATGCCAATGTGTATTTAAAATAAAAGAGCAGATAAAACAAAAAATACTGAAGTAACAACGATATTTACGAAAGTCCTAACATGCCTCAAGTAAATTAGAAACCAAAAAATGTGTTGTATATGTTATGTAACACACTATACATTAAAAATACAATCTTATGTTTATGTTTAACAGATTATATAACTCCACTAAAGAAGAGGAGGTTAGCTAGTTATAGAGAGTCTATTGACCAGCCTCCCACACCTTCTGCTGCTCAGAGTGTGGTGTCATCCGACCAGGCAGAGGAATTTATAGATGTACAAAACCCGGATCCTGTGTGCGAGGCAGAAATGGTATGATGACAAAAAAATATTTTTTAGAATTTTCAGGGGGCAAAATTAATGGTCTTGCCAAACATTTGGAATAAAGTACTTGAGATAATCAAATTCCTTGAAATACCAGAAATTGAAAGGCACATAAAGGAAAAGTTCTTTTATTGCTGATTATATTCATGAAAAAAGAAAATTCAAATACATTTCACCATAATGTTTTTACAACAAAACAATGACAGCCCAGCATTCTAAGACAACAAATTGTGACAGCCCATAATATCGACATTTTTGACATCAAAATCAAGACATCCTGAAATCATAATATGCCATAACAAAATAATTCTTTTACAACAAAATCATAACATCCCTTTACATCAACATTCCTTGTTAACAAAATAGTGACAGCTTCTTTTCATTTTGGTTATCCACAACTCCTTGAAAATGGCTCAACAGAATTCAGCTGAACTTACACACAGCCACAGGACATGCAGTTTTGCACATGCTATTTAATTTTTGATGGGAGAGATTTTTAGGGTTTCCCATACCAAAACATGCACTCTTGATTCCGCTTATATTATTTGAAGACAACACACAACACGTCATAACCTTGAATCTATATTATATCTGATAGGTCAAGGTCACAGACTTAATTTTTATTTTGGGTCAAATCATGTTTGTTAGCTGGGTGACATAAGTCTCTTACAAAAAGTTCTGCTTTATATTTACTGAAACCTGTTATATAATCTGTTTCAGGGACTTTCTAAAGTTAACAGGAATGCATCAGAAGCATCTAACAAACCAAAACTAATGGACAGTTTAGTGAGACATTCTGTAGAAAGTGTGTGTTCAAACCACAGAACTTCATCAGATTCTCAGATTTCAGCTGATGAAGGGGAGAAAGTGACTAGTCATTTAGAATCTGTTTCAAGTAATACTGATTCTGTAATGGAAAGCTCAAATGAATGTGATAGCCAACAGGAAGATGATTCTGTGGAACGCAATATAGATGTAAGTGACAACAGACTGGAGGCAATGGAGGTTGACAGCACACAAAGTGACTCTGAGAAAAAAGAAGCTGTATGTGATAGTACATGTAAAGTTGAAGACAACAGAGCATGTAGTAGTTCTATTACTGAGGCATCATTAGTAGATAGTAGCTCTGATGTAGGTGTAAACGAAGAGACAAATGCAAACTCTGTTGAAATGTCAGAAATTAATGTCTCGCAAGAAAATGTTGGCAGTAGTAATGTGTCACAGGTGCTTGATTCGCAAGAAAATGTGGGTAGTAGTAATGTGTCAGAGCTACTGGTGTCACAGGAAAACGTGGGTAGTAGCAGTGTATCTGAGGTACTGTTGCCACAGGAAAACGTGGGTAGTAGTAATGTGGCTGATATTTCGATTTCACAGGGAAATGTTGGTAGTAGTAATGTATTGGACATACATGTGTCACATGAAAACGTTGGGAGCAGTAGTGTGTCACAGGAAAACATTTGCAGCAGTAATGTGTTGCAGGAAAATGTAGGGAGTAGTAGTGATAGACATGTACGAAATTATAATTTTGATGTTAGTAGTAGTAGTGAGTTACATCACTTCTCATCAAACTTAGTAGAATCATCTCAAGTGACAGAAAATGTCAGTGTTTCATCTACAGAACAAACTTGTAGTTCATATAGTGCTACCTCAGAAGGTGGGGGAATGGCTGACAGTTCTATGTCAGAAAACAAAACAGACTTATCGGACATGGGGTTAGCAGATGTATCGGCTGTTGGGGACTCTACACAATATGTAAATAATACTAGTGCTACTGACAGTGTAGGGGAACCTGTTGCCAGTTCATCAATGGCTGAGGACTCTGGTATAATGTTAGAGCCATTAACACCACAAGAATCACATGGACCTTCAAAGAAAAAGGTAGGAAATTATTTCCTTGCTTCCAAAATATAAAAAATAATTATAAAAATTTTTGCTAAGGACAATATTTCTTCTCCTGATAAATGAACATATACTGTGAAACATAAGAACTTAAATTTATTGAAATCACATTTGAATGAATCATAAAATCAGGCCATTGGTTTTCACATTTGTAATGCCAGGACCTTTTTTAGCTTTCTATACACAATAGGTTTTGCTCATTGTTGATGCCTGTACGTTGATGTATAGTTGTTTACATCCTCATTGTCAAGATTGTTCTCAATCTTTCTTACAATACTTTTAGTCTCTAGATATTTATTCTATTCAATAGCTTTTCGAAATACCTTAGCCAGGTTTTCTAAATAAAATAACAACTAAACTACTATTTCAAGAAATAGAAATTATTATTATAACTTTGAATTACTACAAAGAATGAAAGTACAATATGTTTAACGGTTTTCTTTGATTTTCGTGCGTGAAGTATTTACCTATTAAGTTTCTGTAAAGATCAGTTCAAATTCGTTTTGCTAGTCGGAAAATCCCCTTTTTATAATCCTTAGCACGCCTTATCCTTGCACGTAAGAAAATAGGTTGCTACTGGTCAAGGTTAATCATATAAATCACTGTCAATACATACGTAAATATTGGATTATAAAGAAAGCAATCACGATTTCATACATCTCAACACCGATTTATCAATATAAAGCATATAAACACAAGTAACTAAAAGAAATGTAGGATAAATAACAAGTTAGAAAACAAAGATGTTATGCCACATGTTGGCGGAATTTCATAACGCTAAAACAGCAACTGTCAATTTTGCCGGTAACGACGTTACGTTAACACAAAGGTAATACTGCATTATTGAATGTTCACAACACTCATTTTAGTTTTTGGTTGATAGTTGTCTCATTTACAGTCATAACACATCTTCTTATTTTTATATAATCCAGAAATTACATAACATAGTTGATTGATTAACAATTTTGTTGTCAAGAGAAATATTGTCCCATAAAATGAATCTAAATTCCAAACTTATAAACTTGAACAGTTCACAGTAACTTTTATTTTTATATTAATCATTGTGGAGTAAAAGTATGATAGTATATTAGTATTTCTTTAAATTCAGACTACAGAAAATTCAATTAAAAAGACAATGAACCTTTATCTATATGACACGAAGTAGGTATAAATTGAAAAAAAGGAGTAGATATAAGATATTTAAACTCAGAATACTTTATAGGTTAGTTTACTGGAATACAGAAAACGGCAAAAAGAGAAGACTCCAGTATCGACATCAACACCATCATCCAGTAGACCTTCATCGACAACCATCATTGCTCCTTCATCTACAACATCACCCATTCATCGTCATCATCGCTTCTCAACACTTCCATCACTTCCTTTGTTTGATTCATCGCCAACAAAGGATAATTCATCTAGATATCATTTTAAAAGTAAGTAGACATATGAACTGATATGTATGAAAGTATGTTGGTAATTTTTGCTTATTTCTCTATTTCATACTCATGTGTACTTTGATAATGGTAATTTTTATGCCCCTGCCGTAGCGGAGGGGGCATTAAGTTTTACCTTTGTCTGTCTGTACGTACGTCCCAAAATTGGTTTCTGTTCTCTAACTTTAGATTGCCTCAACCAAATGTTATGAAACTTATACACAATGCTTATTACCACAAAACACAGATCAAGTTTGAATTTTGGTGGCGTCACTTTTACCTTTCTAGAGTTATGCCCCTTTACAAATGGAAAAATTGCTGAATTTTTCGTTTCCGTTCTCTAACTTTAGTTTGCCTCAACCAAATGTTATGAAACTTATACACAATGCTTATTACCACAAAACACAGAACAAGTTTGAATTTTGGTGGCGTCACTTTAACCATTCTAGAGTTATGCCTCTTTAGAAATGGAAAAATTGCAAAATTTTTATTTTCTTCTAAATATCAAGTAATTTTTATTAAAATTGGAGTTATCTTCCTTTGTCCATGATTATAATTGAATCAACTACATTCAATGCTTTATACAATGCAATGTTTAATTTTGACCTCCACTGATAAAACACAGATCAAGTTGAATTTGGGTAGTGTCACTTTAACCATTATTGAGTTATGCCCCTTTATAACTCGAAAGATTGCAAAATTTTTAGTTTCCATTCTGTAACTTAAGTTTGCCTCAACCAAACATTATGAAACCTATACACAATATTCATTACCACAAAACTAAGATCAAGTACAAATTTTTTGTTTCCGTTTTCTAACTTTTGTTTGCCCCAACCAAATGTTATGAAACTTATACACAATGCTTATTACTACATAATACAGATAAAGTACGAAATTTGGTGGCAACACTTTTACCATTCTTGAGTTGTGTCCCTTTATAAACATAAAATTTGCTGAATTTTTCATTTCCGTTCTCTAACTTTAGTTTGTCTCAACCAAATGTTATAAAACTTATACACAACCGTTCTAGAGTTATGCGTGTTTACAAATAGAAAAATTGCTGAATTTTAAGTTTCTGTTCTCTTCTTAAGTTAGACTCAACCAAATGTTATGAGACTTACACACAATGCTTATTACCACAAAACTCAGATCAAGTTCAAATTTGGGTAGCGTCACTTTTACTGTTCTTCAGTTATGTCCCTTTATAACTATATGATATGCAAGCGGGGGCATCATCTGTGTCCACATGTGGACACACTCCACATTTATTTTAACTTTTAGTAAAGATTTATGACAGTTTGTTCCCTTGTTTTTATACGACCGCAAAAAAATTTTTGTGGTCGTATATTGGTATGACGTTGGCGTCGTCGTCCGAAGACACATTGGTTTTCGCACTCTACTTAAGTTAAAGTGAATGGATCTTTATGAAATTTTACCACAAGGTTCAATACCACAAAAGGAAGGTTGGGATTGATTTTGGGGGTTATGGTAATAACAGTAAAGGAATTAGGGGCCAAAAATAAGCATTTTTGTAACTTCCAGACATAACTTGTGTGTTAGTGTATGGATCTCTCTGACATTGTACCACAAGGTTCCATATCACTAAAGGAATGCTGGGATTGATTTTGGGGGTAATTGCCTCCAAATTTTAGGAATTAGGGGCCAAAAAAGGAGCAAAAAACAAGCATTTTTCTAGTTTCATGACAATAACTTGTGTGTAAGTGTATGGATCTTTCTGAAATTGTACTACAAGGTTCCATATCACAAAGGGAAAGCTGGGTTTGAGTTTGGGGGTAATTGCCCTAAACGTTTAGGAATTTGGGGCCAAAAAGGGGCCAAAAAACACATTTTTTTCTAGTTTCCAGACAATAACTTGTGTTCAAGTGTATGGATCTCTCTGAAATTGTACTGCAAGGTACCATACCACAAAGGGAAGGCTGGGATTGAGTTTGGGGGTGATGAATCATAATGGGGGTTCAAAAAATTTTGGGGGGGGATTTATTTTTTTTTCCTTTTTTGTTTCTTTTAAAATTTTCCATTTTAAGTTGGTTATTTCTGATTAATATTTAAAATCAAATAATAATGATATGGTAGGAGATACACACCAAACAGGATGTGTAAATTATTATATAATAAGTATTGTGCAATAGCAAGAAATTTTCAATTGCACAGTATTGCACAATAGCAAGAAATCTTCAATTGCACAGTATTGCGCAATAGCAAGAAATCTTCAATTGCATAGTATTGCGCAATAGCAAGAAATATCCAATAGCACAATATTGCGCAATAGCAAGAAATTGTCAATTGTACAGTATTGCGCAATAGCAAGAAATATTTAATAGCACAGGATTGTGCAAAAGAAGATACTTCCTATAAATTGCTTATTTCTTGACCAATTTCAATGGGGTTTTATTCTTGATTTCATGGGGTTCTTTAATATGCTGAATCTAACCGTGTATTTAGTTTTTGGATTTTGGGCCCCGTTTTTAAATTGGTCCACATTGAGGTCCAAAGGGTCCAAAATTAAACTTTGTTTGATTTCATCAAAAATTGAATTATTGGGGTTCTTTGATATGCCGAATCTAACTGTGTATTTAGATTCTTAAATTTTGGTTCCATTTTCAAATTGGTCTACATTAAGGTCCAAAGGGTCCAAAATTAAACTTAGTTTGATTTTAACAAAAATTGAATTCTTAGGGTTCTTTGATATGCTGAATCTAAACATGTATTTAGATTTTTGATTATGGGCCCAGTTTTCAAGTTGGTCCAAATCGGGGTCCAAAATTAAACTTTGTTTGATTTCAACAAAAATTGAATATATGGGGTTCTTTGATATGCTGAATCTAACCATGTATTTAGATTTTTGATTTTTGGGCCCCGTTATCAACTTTGTCCACATTGAGGTCAAAAGGGTCCAAAATTAAACTTTGTTTGATTTCATCAAAAATTGAATTATTGGGATTCTTTGATATGCCGAATCTAACCGTGTATTTAGATTCTTAATTTTTGGTTCCGTTTTCAAATTGGTCTACATTAAGGTCCAAAGGGTCCAAAATTAAACTTAGTTTGATTTTAACAAAAATTGAATTCTTAGGGTTCTTTGATATGCTGAATCTAAACATGTATTTAGATTTTTGATTATGGGCCCAGTTTTCAAGTTGGTCCAAATCGGGGTCCAAAATTAAACTTTGTTTGATTTCAACAAAAATTGAATATATGGGGTTCTTTGATATGCTGAATCTAACCATGTATTTTGATTTTTGATTTTTGGGCCCCGTTATCAACTTTGTCCACATTGAGGTCAAAAGGGTCCAAAATTAAACTTTGTTTGATTTCATCAAAAATTGAATTCTTGGGGTTCTTTGATATGCTGAATCTAACCATGTATTAAGATTTTGGATATTGGACCATAATAGGTGAATGTCCAATTTAAAATTTTTAAGTTCTTAGACAACATTCAATCTGTGTTAGAAACCTATGCTGTGTCAAATATTTAATCACAATCCAAATCCAAAGCTGTATCAAGCTTGAATGTTGTGTCCATACTTCCCCCAACTGTTCAGGGTTCGACCTCTGCGGTCGTATCAAGCTGCGCCCTGCGGAGCATTTTATTCATTTTTGCAGTTTAAGAATTAAAAAAGGGACTGGATTGTTATCCCTACACTTTTAATATCAGAAATAATGAGCTGTATTTAATAAATATGTTATCCTCATTAATTCAAATATTTTAGCTTTTAAGTATAAAGTTTCAAATATTTTACAGGCTCATCTGATCTTATAAGGAAAAGGTCTATAGAAACAAAAGAGAAGAGACCACAGTTAAGTTTGTCAGAGAGGTTAAGGATGGAGTTTGGACTGGAGGATAGTGAAGAGGAAAAAGATGTTGAAAAAGGTACACTACAATAAAGTTAATTAAGATACTGAAAGATACTTAGACAAAGTTGACTTTAGATGGATTTGGTTATTCTTTTTAGATCCCTTTTGGTCATATAGCTCTTCTTATGTTCATGTACTTATACATCCTTCACTAAATTCTTTTGTGGTTTGAGCATTCCGGATGAAAGTAAATTTCAGAAAAGCATGTCGGATGCACCAAATTGTTATATCCATTATTAAAGTCAATACATTGACACGGGTAAATTCAAGTAACATAAACAACAAGTATTTATATGGGCTTATGGATACAATAATTGATTATCATACAAACAATATTAGTTTTGACATTTTCTGATATGATCCGATTCTTACACATTTTGTATGTTTTTTGTGAAAAACTGTTTTAGATAGATAGAAGCATTAAACAGCAAAAAATTATCAGCAAGATGGTTGTTGGTTTTAAATGCCACTTTCAGCAACTTTGGCTATATAATTGCAGCTAGTTTTTAATGGTGGAAAAGCTGGAGTGAGCCACTACCTTTGACAGGAAAACTTAAGTTTGGAGTCAAACACACTTGCCACATGGGGTTCAAACTCACAACAAAAACGCTGTCAAATAAATTTATCTGCAAGACAAGATTTTGACCCAAACATTTTCCATTCAACACAAATATTCTTGTTGCATTGTAAAAATTTTATGCAGATGAGATTGTTTTTCCTCTGCAGCTTTGGTGAAATCTGTTTGTAAAATCTGTTATAAATCCACAATTTTTAATACTATTATTGCTTTAATGGCCCTAGATGACTCTGGTTGGAACGGACATGCATTTAATAAATACTTTGTTTTTGTACAGATCCCAGTCATCACAGACAGACATCATTATCATCATCTCATATTCCCCCACCCCCACCACCACCACCCAAGCAAGGTGAGTTAGTCTGTCGGTCGGCTGTTCAGTGCCAGACTGGTGCATGGCTCACTATCATTCATTTTGCATTATACTTTTTAAAATCTTCCATGTACTATTATCAGCAGAAACTTACCTGGTGTAAAAATGTAAAAAGTCAACACCAGTCAATAGTTTTCATTTGTTAACTAGGGGTTTAAACATAATAATGTACATTGGAAATTGAAAATTTTGCATGCTTTTATGATCAAATTGAGTTGAAATGAAAGGCTGAAAAATATTACATGGAGGAATATATTATGTTGTAATCCTATCTACTGAATGTTTTATTACCATAAAGTTATTCCATTATAAGGACTTAAATGTGTGCACTAGGGAAAGAAAACATTTTATTAAATTACCAATCGCCTGGAAAATTTTCTGTTTAATTTGCAGAAGAGAAATGCTGCAATTTATATCCTTTTAAGTTAACCTCATCAAAGTTAAGGATGAAGTATTTAAGTAGGGCAGTTTGTCAGTGTTCCGGCAAAGAAGGTCATTCTGACCTTTATTCTTTGCTTTCTGACATTAATCATTTGAATATATTGTGCAGAACAAGGAGAACTTTGTCATAAACAGTAACTAATTTTTAAATATTTACTTTTTGTAAATGACTGATATCTATTAATAAGTTAAAAACAAGTAAACAAAATAAAAATAGTTCATTATATTTAGCGGTTACAGGCATGAAGGGAGGAAACAATAGTCTTCATTTGATTTCAAGTTATGTTAAAATTAATTGATCAGTAGAAAAATGCAGGGCCTGGGTTCTTTAACCATCATAAATTTTATAAATTATCAAAAATTCTCAAATTCGACTAAGCGTTTGCATGTTTAAAAAAAAGACACCAACATATGAAAATGCAAAATATCCCTAGTTGCCACCCTGATACATGGAATGCTGTTTTTAGTATGCTTGGTCTACCTAAACAACAAAGAAATACTTTACATCAATGATTTCTCTATTTGTAGTCTGGCCTTGGTGCATATATTGTAATGGAGTAAATAACTATAATTGTTAATGTTGTGAAGCCAAAAAGATCTGTTTCTCTTAAAAGTTTTGATAACATATTTTGTAAACCGGTTGATCATGACAAAACATGATTTAAAATCTACATGCCTCTTAAATTTTAAGCTTGCCTAGCCTGGTAAGCCATCTGTGCTATTGCCATCACTTGGCAACAATTGTCCATCTTAAATTCTTTTTTAATCATCTATGAAGCCACTGCAAACATGGCAAAGCACCTATTTCATCCAATCTAATTAGATATCTTAAAGAAATTTATTTTTGTCCCTGCCAACAAACTAACATGGACACAGCTAAAAAATGGAACATAAAAGTAAAATGCCAAAAAAAGAAATTTTAATAGGGAGAATGTTAAAAGAATGTGTTGACCCATTTTTACCAAAATTTTCAGTCAACTCTTTATAATAAGATATACATTTGATATTTAATATTGTTATCACTGCTAAGTTGATGGCAATTTGATTTTGAGAAGTGGTGAAGACTTGGAACGTTTTGTAAATATTTTGATAAAAAATATCAAATTTGCATATTTTTACCAGGTGAGCAGTTCAGCCTCCTGGTGAACCCTAGTTTTTGTACTATAAATAATTTAGGAAATGGTCATTCTTGTTTGGCTTTTTGCATTAAAAAAAAGTTATGCACTTGGAAGTATGTTTATTTATTTCTTTTTCATATATTGTACTTGTAGAATGTTATGCTGCAATTAGTTCAGTAATCACTATACCTCAATTGTTGTACTTGAGTGTTGCATTGCATTTTATTCTAGTTTTGATGTCAAGAAAGAATATCATTGCTTGTATTTCTCACAAATATATCATACATATATAATGTGGTTTAGTGCTATAAATACAATGTATACACTTTACATATAGTAAATCCACATGTTCCAATATTTTTTGTATTCAATTATTTTCTTATTGTGATATTGTTTGCTGAATTATTATTTATTTGAAGAAACCAGTTGTATCAATGCTGGTATTTGTTTTTATGTGGTTTTCATAAAAGCATTTATTCCTGCTCAAGATTGATAAAATAACTTTAAATAGAAATTATTGGAACGAATCCAATATTGACACCAATCTGTAATCTAGCCTTCACATTTTGTTATACTCATGTATATAGAAAGTATGTGTAAGTGGACATTTGAGTTTGATTAGTTTCTTTTTAAGCTTTTATATAAATTGGAAGTCTTGATATTTTTTTTAATGCTAGGAACTTTTACATAGGAACATATTTTATTTCTAAGACAAATATCTGTATCTGAAAGTGTTTAGTTTGTAATACCAATTTAACCAGAACATACAACATACCCAGTGAGGTAGTCATTCCTTAGGGCTGTTTTTGTCAAGTGTAATCAGGTTATCCTCTTATATATATTTCAGAGCCTTCTTCAGCACCTGTTTCCTCATCAGTTTTTCAACATCCACAATTTCCTCAACCTTCTATCATGTTGAGAGGACCATCGCCTGTCCTTGCCCAGAATGGACCACAGCCTACCAGTGCACCTATAATGACCACTATCAATGGAGTTCCAGGACCAGTGGGACCTTCATCAGTTATGCCTCAAATAGGGACGCCACATATGTTGGTGAATGGAACACAGAGTCCTGTTCTTCCACCACAGAGCCCAGTCCTGCTACCACACCCATCAAATTCTAGTTCTGGTGGGAAGTCGATTCCTTCATTGTTATCCATTAAGACTTTTCCTACCCGTAACTTGCCAAATGGTAATGAATCAGGAACAACACCTCCTTCATCGGGACTAGTGGATCAATCAAACCTATTTCATTCAAATAATCAAGGTATGGAAGTAATATTTAATACGGGTGTATCATGCGCTCATGGTTCAGCTCTTTATTGTTTGTTACCATGAATTGTATCTTCTTAACAGATTTGTGAAATTTAAACACTATTAACTACTGTTGCCGCTTATTAACAGCCTTGTGTTGTATTAAAGTCAACTTGGATACTTGTCTAATACTTGCAACCGATTGATTACTTTCATTTCGATCCATTTATCATGGGAATCAGAATGAACAGGGTTATTTTTTTTTCATTGTTATTTTATTTTTATATTCAAGGTTATGTCAACATGTGATTTTGTTTTAATGTAATGTTGAAAATAAATAAATTTCGATAGAACAATCCTAAGTTCTTACATAAAATGGATTAAATTATTAACACATCAGTTTGCCATATGACCAACTTACCATTGTTTGAAAGAGCTACCATGTAGTCTGGGAAAAGCTCCAAATTTATTGCAGATGTAGCAGCCTGGGACTACCCTTGAAATTCCCAGAAATATTAAAAAGTCTGGAAAAACTTTCAATTTCTATAGTTCTGTAGCATGTTTTGAAATTTAAGTGATATCCATTTCCAAATTTCAAATCTAATTGCTACCCACTTCTCTTGTCTTTGAAATAATTGTAAGAAAGAGATTTTGTCTGCCAATGATTAAAGTTTAAGTTCCTGACCATAACTAAAGTCTTTAAAATGTTTGCTAGAAAAGCAGTTTGTTAGTAACTGTTCCCAACTTTGATATTAAGTGAAATATGATCTTATGATACCATTCTTGAAAATAGATGAAAGTGCTGGAGATATCCTGTAAAAACCCTGGTACTATTACCAGTAACTAGGGTTGGATTCCTGGTGTATAAAGAGGTGTGTCCTCCTACCTCATAAAAAATAACCTTAAGTATCTCAAAATAACATTGATTTATGTTACCGGTATAATGTATTTTTATGTTGATCAATTACAGGTGTATCAACAAACCAGCATTTTGCAGCAAATCATATCAACAATTCACCTGTGGGATTCACTCCACCATCTGCTGATATGGCTCAGTCATCCTCACAGAACCCACCCATCTTCAACCAGAATGGAACAACATCACAACAAAACTTTAATGGAACAAACATGCCTTCAAATGGACCAATTGTGCATGAATATAATCATGGTTATAATGATCAACCAGCACAGAAACTCTATCATTCACAGGATCAACGAAAGAAATCAAACAAGTTCAAACGAAAACATTATAACAGTTACCAAGATTCTGGAGGAGGTCATTTTCATTGATACATTGTACTTAATTTATTTTAGAATATATTGAACAGTATTTTTATATAACATGTAACATGTTTGTCGGGCAGCAATTTTATGTTAGCAGTTGTTTTGTTATTGCAGATATTTTTCTTTTCATTTTGGGTGTTTATATTTTGAGATAGTAGCTGATAGTATAGTTCTTTTGCAGTATTTAGTGGTCTTCACATGCCTTATTGGGTTTTATATATACACTGTTGGTGGTCTTCAGAGGTTAGGTTTGAAAGTGTTCTGAAAAAAATTGTTAAGACTGATTTCAAGTTTTGGATTCCTTTAATAGAATGATAAATCTAGGAATAGCTCTGACTTTGACAATCATGATTAAGATGACGTAAAGATATTTATACGTTTGAGAACCTGTTGATGTTGAAGATTGCAAAATTCTTTCATAACAAAATTGAGGCTAGATTCTAAAACTTTTTAGCATTATAATTGATTGGAGTTTTCTCCCTTTATTCTGGAGTAAAGATATAGCTGTTTCAGAACATCATTTTATTTTACACTTAAATGATCAGAGTTGTCTTAGCTTAAATCGAAATACATATTATTGTTGAAGTTTTGTTTTAAATATGGTTATACTATTGATCTTACTGATATATTGTTTTAAGCATTTAAAAAAAGGTTGCTCATTAATTATAAATTTCTGAACCACCAACAAGTATCTGGAAGTTGACAATATATGTATAGCATTTCATTTATAATGATATTATACATCTCTTACAGCTAATGTTAAAGCATTTTATGTAAAGGGCTGGCTACATATTTAAAAAAAGTATTTATACATAGATGGCATCGTTTAAAATATCGTTTCTCTTTGTTTGCAATAAATGTTGAATACAGTGAAATGTTTAATTTTAATGTTGATTGTAATGTTCAAGCCGTAAAAGTCAATTAAAAAATTAGTGTTGAAAATTCTAATTGCATTAAATTTTCTAATATTTTCTTTGGACCAGGTGTTAACTATGATATATTTTGATAAATGTATGATTAGCAAAATGCATGTGCAGAGTTAGATTTTTAATTTTCTGGAAGTAATAATGTTTTAAGAATTTAAAAGAACAAGGAATTGCTACTGGCAAAGGTTTACCTACTTTGAAGAGGAATTTCAATTTTATTTTTACTGAGAAAAAATCATATGTATTATGATATTTACTTTCAAATCACAATTAATCTTAACTATAAAAAAATGATTCAATTGTGAAGTAGGGAGAAACGAAAAATTAGAAATTTTCTATGATATATATATAGTAAAAATTCAAATGTACTGTCATTGATGTACAGGTATAACTTACTGCCACTGAGGGGGGAAAAATCATGATTAAGGGCATTAACTACTGGGGGAATCATTCTTCATTGTTTTATTATGATCTCTTAGGCAATTTTTTACAGCCTTAACATGTAAATATTCATTGTATATGTTTTCATCTGTCAGCCATCTGTAAATAACTCACTGTGTACATGTGTAGATAACTTGTGTAGATATGTAAATATGTACAGTATTTGTACAATAGTGTACAAAGTATTTTCTCACTTCTTTTATCTTTCTCAACGTTATTGAAAAAATAAGGTATATTTTTCTAGGAGTTTGTTTACAAGATTAGAAGTTTAAATATTTTGTGAAAGTTACAAATTTAAAGAAAAAGTTGAGGATAAACTTGTTACTTAATATCAAATTATTATGTTTCTTTGATAAGACTTTCTTTTTTTCTATGTACATTGTTTTTGCTTGAGGAAATCTGTAACCAATTTATTGAATTTATATGGGTAGCCTGTAAAACAGAAAAACAACATTCTAAGCTTGGAAGCTTTTAAGTTTATGTAAACTGTCCACTGGTTTACTGGGACTTAAAATTAAGTGATACGATTACATATGAGTATAGGGTTTTATTATATTAAACACCCACTCTAAAAGTGGAGCCTATATTGCATTCAACTTGTCAGTCCATATGTTCATTTGTTAAACCAACAAATATTTTTGTCACACTTTTCTCAGAAACTACTTAATAGAATGACTTCATTATTGGTCAGCAACTTGACAAATTAATAGTTGTAAAATGTGAGCATTTTTAGGATCTGTTAGATAGCTACTACCTATTTGCTGATACTTTGAATTTTCAATATGTTGACTTAACTTTAAAAAAATTCATCACACTTTTGCCAAAATGTACTGAACAGACTTGCTTTATATTTGATCAGCAGCTCAACATTGATTAGTTGTATTGTGTGTGTGCTTTTCTGATCAGTCAGAACCCTGCTTCATGTTCTCCAATACTTTGAATTTCGAGACGGGGTATGCATAGCACACAAACACCTGCATTCTTATTTCAGTATTCTTTAGAAAACTTTATGTAGTAATGGTAAAGCATTCAACTTTAACATAGATAAAAGCTATAGAAAGTGTAATAAGTTGTGGTTAATTAACAAAAGAATGTATGCTAGCTTACATGAGAAAACTGCATCATAGTTTAAACAGTGGTAACATGGTTTGATCAGTAAGAAATCTACTGCAAAATAATCATTGATTTGAAATTAACAGTTGTTAACAGTTGTTAAAGCACCCTTTATAAGAATTTTAGATTTAGATGTTACAGATTTTTATTGATGTACGAGCCTGTTGTATAAAGCAATGTACATTTTGTTTCTGTCTGTCCTAAACTGTCTTTATAATTTATTTCTGTCTTTATGTGTGTATGAGTGAAGAGAAAAAGGGGTAATGACCAACTGTACAGAGTCAAAATAAAACAAATTTAATCTTATTGTGTTGTTTATATCAATTTAAGAATAAGAAGATATGATATGATTGCCATTGAGATCTATCCACCAGATTCCAAATGACATGCCAATAGGTCACCATACAGCCTTCAACAATGAGCAAAACTCTGATCTTATAGTCAGCTTTAAACAATAAACAAAAAAGTACTTACTCCTTCCCTTTAACCCGAAACAGTGGTGTAACAGCAGAACTAAAGAAAAAACTAAAAATCGTTTGGAAATGACTTGAACATCTGATTGGCACAAAGCCAAAAAAACAACTTAACATAGAAAAAAAAAGAGACAAAGTACAGATCTAAGAGTAACCATAGTTACTGAATGCTAGTTCAACGCAAACTACAACTAATAAATAAATCTTTAAGTTTAACCAAACTAACATAGTAATGTAGTAATTCATAAACAGGGGTTATATTCTTCGAGTCTTAAAATTTGACATCTTTATTAAGTGGGCGTATTTAAGAGGGGGAGGGAAACATGGCCATATCATCCCTACACTTTTCAAAATTTTGATAGATGAATCTGTTGGTCATATTTTATGGAAAGGGTTCAATTTTATTGTTTTTATACATTGCGGTATCAATTTCATTGATGAAGGAAACTTGAGTAGAACACCACCCTTTGGTGAGTAACTGTCTAGCTCTCGTCACATATAGTTTTCACTGAGCTTATCTTATTTATGACTTGAGCAAGTCTCCCTGCTATAGTAGTGATAAACTAGTTATCTGTACATTGGGCCATGTGAGCTATTGCGATCACTTGGCTGGCGTCATTAATTTTTTCGAAGATCTCGTGTGAAACTATTAAACCAATATCGACCAAACTTTAAGTGAATGATCCTTAGGGTATCTAGTTGTCTTGCCTGCAACAAAAGTTGCAATATGTGAGACATGGGATTACTATCTGGCGGCAGCGATGTACAAATTATATTTAATTTCACATAAATGATGAGTTTTAGCTATTTTTCATGTTTTTGCCTATTATCTCAAAAACATTAGATAGGTAGAAACTATTAAAGAAAGCAAGATTAGCAGTACAAGACTTCAAAAAATGACAATATGGATGACTCCTTAAGGAGATGTTAAATCATTGAATATTCTATTATGCTCCTTAAGGAGATATCCAATTGCCTGTAAATGACGATTTTGAACAAAATTCTCATGTTTGGCCTCTAATCTCAAATTTTATAATAGGTGAGTAAAAACAATCACAAATACATGATTTAAAAAAAATGACATATTACCAAAACCATCAGATGACTCCTTAACCCAATTCGCTCCCAATCCTGCCTGTAGATGTGATTGTAACAGCCATTCTTTTTTGTCGAGCCTTCGACTTTTCGAAAAAGCGAGACATAGCGATCCTACATTCCGTCGGCGGCGTCCACAAATATTCACTCTGTGGTTAAAGTTTTTGAAATTTTAATAACTTTCTTAAACTATCCTGGATTTCTACCAAACTTGGACAGAAGCTTGTTTATGATCATAAGATAATATTCAAAAGTAAATTTTGTAAAAAGAAAATTCCATTTTTTCCGTATTTTACTTATAAATGGACTTAGTTTTTCTGCCAGGAAACATTACATTCACTCTGTGGTTAAAGTTTTTGAAATTTTAATAACTTTCTTAAACTATCCTGGATTTGTACAAAACTTGGAAAGAAGCTTGTTTATGATCATAAGATAGTATCCAGAAGTAAATTTTGTAAAAAAAAAAAATCCATTTTTTCCGTATTTTACTTATAAATGGACTTAGTTTTTCTGCCAGTTAACATTACATTCACTCTGTAGTTAAAGTTTTTATACGACCGCAAAAAAATTTTTGTGGTCGTATATTGGTATGACGTTGGCGGCGTCGCCGTCGTCGTCCGAAGACACATTAGTTTTCGCACTCTTACTTTAGTTTAAGTGAATGGATCTCAATGAAATTTTACCATAAGGTTCAATACCACAAAAGGAAGGTGGGGATTGATTTTGGGGGTTATGGTACTAACAGTTAAGGAATTAGGGGCCAGAAAGGGGCCAAAAATAAGCATTTTTGTAACTTCCAGACATAACTTGTGTGTAAGTGAATGGATCTCTCTGACATTGTACCACAAGGTTCCATATCACAAAGGGAATGCTGGGATTGATTTTGGGGGTAATTGCCTCAAAATTTTAGGAATTAGGGGTCAAAAAGGGGCAAAAAACAAGCATTTCTCTAGTTTCATGACAATAACTTGTGTGTAAGTGTATGGATCTCTCTGACATTGTATCACAAGGTTCCATATCACAAAGGGAATACTGGGATTGATTTTGGGGGTAATTTCCTCCAAATTTTAGGAATTAGGGGCCAAAAAGGGGCAAAAAACAAGCATTTTTCTAGTTTCATGACAATAACTTGTTTGTAAGTGTATGGATCTTTATGAAATTGTACTACAAGGTTCCATATCACAAAGGGAAAGCTGGATTTGAGTTTGGGGGTAATTGCCCAAAAAGTTTAGGAATAAGGGGCCAAAAAGGGGAAAAAAATAAGCATTTTTCTAGTTTCCAGACAATAACTTGTGTTCAAGTGTATGGATCTCTCTGAAATTGTTCTGCAAGGTACCATACCACATTGGGAAGGCTGGGTTTGATTTTGGGGGTAATTTCCTCAAAATTTTAGTAATTAGGGGCCATAAAAGGGCAAAAAACAAGCATTTTTATAGTTTCAGGACAATAACTTGTGTGTAAGTGTATGGATCTTTATGAAATTGTACTGCAAGGTTCCATATCACAAAGGGAAAGCTGGGTTTGAGTTTGGGGGTAATTGCCTTAAATGTTTAGGAATTTGGGGCCAAAAAGGGGCTAAAAAACAAGCATTTTTCTAGTTTCCAGACAATAACTTGTGTTCAAGTGTATGGATCTCTCTGAAATTGTACTGCAAGGTACCATACCACAAAGGGAAAGCTGGGATTGAGTTTGGGGGTGATGAATCATAAGGGGTTAAAAAAATTGGGGGGGGGGGATTTTTTTTCCCTTTTTTTTTCTTTAAAATTTTCCATTATAAATTGGTTATTTCTGATTTATATATAAAAGCAAATAATAATGATATGGTTTGAATAGCATACATGTGAACCTCCCGACTGGAGTACAATAATCCCGTTTTCAGGGGTCTCCTCCCGACCTCCCGTTGAAGAGGAAAAAATACTGTGTATGAAATTTTTCATGAATGAAAAATTTCTGCCCAACATATCATCTCAGGCATCTGGTGTAACTGACATTACCTGAAGTTATATTTTACCTGTAAATCATTTAACATGCATAATTATATGGCTTCACTTGTCAGCTTGGGTGTCAAACATACTGGTAATCAACGTTTTTTACCTCAGGCTAACTGCCGTTGTGTAACAAAAACTGTGTATTTATTGGGTTACTTCCCTTGATTTATCCTGTTTTAAGTTACTTTCCTTTTAATAATGAAAATTTTTAAAAGAATATAAATAAAATATAAATTGAACAAATAATCATAAAAGGATGGTAATTAAATGATTTTAAATGTCTTAGGACAAATAAAAAAATAATAATTTGAAAATTATTTGAGGATTCTATACTTCCTTTCAAGGCTTAAATTGAAATTTATATAATAACTATGACCCTTGTTGTACAGTTAGAATGATTTTCTGAGTATGCAAATGAAAACTATTTGCAGATAGTTAAACAAATGTTCTGGCTGCAATGATTGTTTTATAGAATATGAAGTAAAAAATTTAAAGAACATACTGAAAAAAAACAATGTTAGATTGAACATGTAGAATATAAAGATGGAGAAACTTTATAAGTACAAGGGTACTATAAGGCCACACTTAAAAATATTTTGGTTTGCCAAAACCCTACCCAAAGGTAGAGACAGTGGGTAGGTAGGTAGGAATTTTCTTTTTTTTTTTTGCAAAGAGAAATTGAAGTGTCAGATCTTTGTTAGTCTTCATGCCTATCTGATTAAAAAAAACCTTTTTTTCACATCAGGACAATAAAAGATTTTGAGTAGGCAGCTATTTTCTGGGTAGGTAGGGTTAGGGCAAACATACATATTATTTTTTATGGCCTAAACATAATAAATTGGATGGAAAGTTGAAGAAAACACACTTTAAAAGACCATTTTTACAGCACACGGTTACATTTACGACAAAATTTATGTCGATTAAAAACCTCCTGATCTGAGTCCTAATCTCCTGACCAAAATTTCCCAATCTCCTGATCTGAGTTTCACAGTCCATCACATGTATGAATAGGTAAATTAAAATTTTTTAAGTTCTTAGACCACTTTCAGTCTGTTTCAGAAACCTATACTGTGTCAAATATTTAATTACAATCCAAATTCAGTGCTGTATCAAGCTTGAATGTTGTGTCCATACTTGCCCCAACTGTTCAGGGTTCGACCTCTGCGGTCGTATCAAGCTGCGCCCCAGCGGAGCATTTTATTAAAATTTTAACAACTATCTTAAACTATCCTGGATTTTTACCAAACTTGGACAGAAGCTTGTTTATGATTAAAAGCTAGTATCTAAAAGGAAATTTTGTTAAAATTTTGTTCCATTTTTTCCGTATTTTACTTATAAATGGACTTATTTTTCCTTCCAGTTAACATTACATACAGTCTGCAGTTTAAGTTTTTAAAACATTTATTAGATTCATAAACTATCCTGGATTTTTACCAAACTTGGAAAGAAGCTACTTACAATCAAAAGATAGTATAGAGAGGAATATTTTTATTAATTTTTTTCCTCATTTTTGTTCAGCCTGTGATTAACAGCAAAAGTAGGCGAGACACTGGGTTCCGCGGAACCCTTACAAATTTTTATTCCATATGAACCTCCATACTTTTTTTTAAACTGCCCAGCATCAGGCAGCTCAATCTGGCAATTCATGGTCCATAAACTTTTCCAGTTGTGTCATGAACATATGACAACACTTCTCGTGGATGAAAACCGAAAAAAGTGAAAAGTAGCCAAAATCAGTAGGTGGGAGTCACTTGGTGGCCACTACATTAATGGTATATGCCATAAGTATTTACTTTTATCCTAAATGTATGCATACATGTAGGTTGTTCAAAAACACGAGGAGGCATTATAATATATGGCCAATCGGATCTGTAAAAACTGTGTTACTGTTTTGTTATAAATCTGTAGAAAAAGATATTTTGGCAGACCTGGCTTGCCATTGATAATTCTAGAGCAAGAGAATGAGATCAAATTTATTTCGAGTCAGCATGATGGGTTTCTATAACTACAAGGTAATAGTTAAATGACAAAGAAACACAGATTTGTCAATGTTCACCTCCAAGGTCTTTATAAAATCGAAAAATAGACTGAAAATGACCATTTTTCAGCTGCGGTGGGTTCAATATTGTATTTTCCACATGTATAGGGCCACTGTATATGAAATATCATTGCAACAATATTTTTGGTCTATAGCATCATTGAAAAGGTATAAATGTCAGACGGACGGGGTTCATTTTCCTTTGGCCCTGATTTAGATTGTTCATTTATCAACATTTACTTTTTGTGATAAGGTCAGTGTCTGTAATACTGAAAATCACACTTGTAGGTCAACTACAGTTGGTACATAGATCAGTTGTAAGGGGTCCAATTGATTGAGTTCATCACACTTCATTTTAATGTTTACAGACGTTAATTTAAATATATACTGCAATCAGAGACATATAATACCAGTATTGTATCATGTGTCTCTGTTGCAATTTAGTAGACTAGTGTTCGACCGAGAGCACTAGCATTATGAAAAGAAATGAGACCTAGGTGATCGGTAAACTTGACACATTAATGAAAAGTGACATTCGTTTTCCACACAATGCATATGACAACATTTGCATAAACCTTTGATCTCATTTATCATATTAAACGATAATCATATCAAAATTTCCATGTCCAGAAAACCGAGAAATCTAGTTAAAAACCGTAATTTAAACCTAAAAAGATACCGTTATAATGAACATGTGTACACTAATTTTTAAGTTTTCAACTTCATAGTTAACTACCTTAAATCAAAACGGGACGTAAGAAAGTAGAGAACGGAGAACATAATGCTCCCTACGATCGTAGATGGGGCATGAAATAGGAAGAGATGTTTTCAAACGTAGAAATAAGGAGATATACATATTTTACGGACACCATCACGAGTTGGTTGACCGTTATGGAATTTCAGTTTCACAGATGACTACGGAAATGTTCCAATCGTCGTAACCACAATCCCGTCCTTCTTTTCCCCGAATGTGATCTACCGAATTAGACTTATCATCGGGTTTTTACTTACATGAGCAACACGACGGGTGCCATATTTGGAGCAGGATCTCCTTATCCTTTCCGGACCACCTGAGATCACCCCCGGTTTGAGGTGGGGTTCGTGTTGCTCAGTTTTCTATGTTGTATTTTGTATACTGTTGTTTGTCTTTTGGTCTTTTTGATTTTTCCGCTTTGGCGTTGTCAGTTTATTCTGGAAGATAAGGTTAGGCTTGGATTATTTTCCCTTGAAACAACATGCAAACATGAACTATAACAATATTTGTCTATCAACCCTTTTTGTTCGAATATTTTATATTTTTATTTCATAAAGTTTTCCTTATCTTAGCTGAAGAATCTCTGGTTTGTGAAGATATTTTCATCCTAGTAGAATCATAGCATTTGTATATTATCGCGCTATTCAAGGTCTAAGCATTTACACTGCGCTGAACAATACCATTTAAAGTTAATACATGCGGATCACATATTACCAGGTGCGATTGTACTTTTCGACACTAGTTCATTTCAACAATAAGATTCAACTATTTTTGTATTCTTTACCCGACTGACAAATATTTCGGTGATCTTCATGGGTTCGATTGAAACATCTTCAATTTTGTTACCGGACAATAGAAAATCGTTCCGGGTAGTATTACTATGGAAATTCATTACCATGAGTATAATCAGAAACGGATCTTTTATCAGAACACCAGCTCTCCATAGTATTTTAAACGAACTATATCATCAAAATTGCGATGAAAATGGGCATCTAGATTCTGTCTTGCGCAAAGAAAGATGTTCAATTTTCCCGAACATATTTTTTCATGTGACGTCATCAAAAGTAAGCAGACCGTAACGTTCAGATAAAATCGTGTGGTTGTAAAAAAAAAGTTGTAAATTTAAATTATATCCTGAAACATAAAGGAACTACTCATATGGATAAGAAAGATGATGATAATCCGCTCGTCAAAACAAACACGGATGAAGATAACGCCTTACAATCAAGTAATGTACAAATTGAAATGTCGTCAAATGTGAATTGTGGAAATAAGGACAAAGATAAGAAAGTGCCAAATTCAACTTCGCAAAATGATGAGGAAATGTTTTTACTGCAGGTAAACTACTAATTGTACCTTTTGGTCGACTCCGTGACTTCTCAAGGCTGAGATTTAACGATTTATTGCACGTAACATAATTTTAAAGATAACTCTTATTTTCTGTTACTCGAATCCATGTTATGTTAAACTGTTAAGAACGAAAGACAGACAGACAGACATACAGAAATAAAAGATCATAAATGGAAAACAAATCATAAAGTGATTGTGTCTTAACAGAACTAAACAAAATTTAAAGTTCCTATACAAATTTAACAAAAAGAGATTTTGGGATATACATCAGTGTTGACCAAACAACACAAAATATACCCAACATCATGACAGTGGGTACAAAGCAACTTGTCGAAATCAATTTTATTTTGAACCAGTAGTCCACAGCTTCCACAATAAAGTACATTTAATTATCTTTTGATGCTGATGTAACTGTTTCCTAAACTATTACAATGTCATTATATAAAATTACATTGTTTCAACTACAATTGCACGCCAATCTTTATCATAAAGGACAGTTGATTGGACAAAAGTGATGGATTTCCACGCCCATATTAAACTGAAGTAATTCCACATAAAGAAAAACAAAATCTGCAGGTTTTGTGATCTTATAAGAAAAGCAAATATTTAACAAATTCAAATTCAAATTCTCATACAAAGAGAGAGAAAAAGGGGGGGGGGGGGGGGGGTTGGGTTAGGAGGGTGTCATCCTGAATTTCAGGGAAAATAACAAAAGCTGAATACCGAAATCCCGAATAAATAAAGCATTTTTTCCCGAATAAGTGTAAATCCCTAATTCACACAAATATAAAGGCCCAACTCGACGTCCCGAAAAGATCTCTAGAGTTCAGATAATTTAAATTTTCAGGAATTAAGATTATACAAAAATATTTTACACAAATTTGTCTATGGGCGCATAAATTTGATATAGGTTGCTAGCTGGTCTGGATTTTGATAAAAAAAAATAACCAATCAGATGCATAAAATATCTTATGTCATGGGTCATGCACGGACTGTCTTACTTTACAGGGATGCTTATGCGGCACATCAAAGATAAGATAAATTTTAACCAGACATTTACCCATTGTACATTTGAATGTACCACAAAACTTAAATTCACTTGAATACACTGACCTCTTATCTTGTCGACATTGAAGCCCGTCAGACAACAGAAGAATCCTTGATGAAATTTAAAATTTAAACAACTCTTAATTTTCACGGGAACGAATATTGTAAAAATAAGACGCCAAGGTCTAAACTAACTCTAGCTTATAATGAAGAAAATGTAATCTAGCTTATAATGAAGAAAATGTAAACCGTCTTGAAGCAAGAAGGTCTCCTAGTGTACACGAAGTTTTGTTTGTGGACATATGTTGCTGGTGGATAAAGTCTTGCACCGACTGAAATCAATGTAGGGTTTACAGAGAAATGACGATTTAAGGGTTCGAGTTATGTATCATTTAATTTGAGTAAAAATATTATCCTTGTAGAACATTTGCTGTCATTTCGACTCGAGTCAAACTCAAATATGCATATTTTATTGTTTTGTAGATTTTGTTCAGTCCCCCCCCCCCCCCCCCCCCCCTTCCCCTTTCCACTGAAATTAATTATTCTTCTTGAAGAAATTTTGAATCAATAAAAATATTTTAAAAAACTAACTGTAAAAAAAACATATATTTTCCGTGCTCTATTGTGTTTTAGGGTAATAATTTTCATGCCTGGCAAGGCAATTGTAACTCGCAACACATTTTATATATTCAACGATTCATTCCCTGGGTTGTCATATTTAAATGATTTGGAACAGCCCTGAAATAAAATAGATAATGAAGTGTCCATCTCCCGAGTGCAGAAAACATAAAATATGCAAATTGATAGATAAACATTTGGTTCTTTTCCATATTCAAAACATTTCGCATTATTTTAGAATTTTTATAGCTTTTCAGAAAGCTTATTGAATTTTTTAAAACAACCATTTTATGATTTGGTATGAGTACAATATGAAATAAGGAGATGTGATATGGTTGCCAATGAGAACTTTCCACCAGGGACCAAATGACGCTCGAGAAATGACGTAGATGTTAAAGCAACTAAAAGTCATCGGCCTTCATTAATAAGCAAACCCCATACCGCAATAAGCAAGCCATAAAAGGCCCGGACATAACAAAATGTAAAACAACCCGAACGAGAAAACAAAAGCGTGAATTATGCACAAAACAACAAACGAATAACAAATATGATTCATTGCAACGAACGACAATCACTAAATTACAATCTCCTGATATTGGACAGGCACATAAATAATGCGAGTCAAGCATATTCATGTGCGTTATAAATTACATCAAAGACTTTCTTTATTCAAAGAATAAATTCGAAAGTACATAATTATTACCAATTCAACATGACAAAGAAGGTTTATAATGGAATGTCTTTCGGATTCAAATTAATCAAATTTGGTTAGCGATGCAAAATTTTACATAAACATGTAAAATTATTTGTGACAAATAATGACTTTATGAGCAACAGATAGTAATTGAGATTGGGAAACAATATTTAAGAAAAATGATAGACTGTTTAATAATCAGATTCCAGTAGGATTTTGCAACTTTTAGATATTTACCTTGCAAGTTAAAAAAAAATACAGGGCAAATTGGCCACATCTTTTTGCATCGAAGAACATTCGGCGAAAATAATATTTCTTTTTATCAATCACATTTTTGTTCATAAAAGACATCGAGTGCTTTAGTAAAGATTGACATTTTAGACAAGTGTGTGAAATGCATTTCCTCTTTTACAACTGTATATAAACCGAAAATGTATAAATTTTAATCGACAAAGAGAGGCACGTTTTTCCGGACTTTTATGCAAAAGAGAACTTTACACAATATTTTCAAGCAAGTTCAATTTAATCTTTCATTCATACAACTCCTGATCACTCCTCTGTTTTCATATTTAAATGAAATCAATAGATCTCGTAAAACTTACGATTCTCAGGCCCCGAATTCACTAAAGATACAATACAACATGTTGTATCGTAATTATTTATCGTAAATATACGACATGCATAAGACATGTCGTAATTTGTATTCTCCAACGTTGTCGTAGTACTGTTGTAAGTTTCTCGCAGTTGCTAATGTCGTAAATCTACAGAACAATCATTTTACGTAACAGAGGGGGATTTTGTTCAGCAAGTGCCCGATTTGAAATCCATTTATAATTTAGTACAATGCTCATCACACTTTGTCTTATAAATATAATTAATAAAAACCATTTATGCTAAACTACTAAATTATTTCAAATATTTTTCTGTTTGTAACAATTTAATATGTTACAAGTACATGTACCATTAATGCGATATTTGTCGCTGGCTTGAAAAACAGGAAATTTGTAATAAAATTACGTAAATCAAATAAGAATTAAAATTTAACAAGAGGAAAATTTGCATGCTTTCTCTACTTTAATTAATTTTGAGAACTGATAATGCCGTATATTGTAAATGTTCGAAGATTAAAGCTTTTCTGTCGATTTACCTCCACCTGGAACGCCCAAACCCCAAATTTATAAGTACAATCTAAAGCATTATAATTTTCGATAGTGTTGTCTATATCAAAATAAGAAGATGTAGTACGATTGGAAATGAGACAACTCTCCACCAGAGAACAAATGACCGGTAGAAGTTAACAACTATGAGTCATCGTGCGGTCATCAACAATGAGCAAAACCTATACCATATAAGCAAGCAAGCTATGAAAGGCCCCGAAAAGACAAATGTAAAGTGACAATTTAAACTTGAAAACGAACGACCTGGTTTATGTTAAAAACAATAAATTAGATAGATAGATACATTTATTCTCATAAAACCATGCAAGTACGAAGACTAGAGAAGTCAAAATACAAAATATTAGATGTGATAACGTAAAAAAAATAAATAAAGTAAATAAAAAAAGATAAAAATATATAAATTGAATAGGAAATATAAGAATATATGCACAAGTAAAGTAAATAAAACGAAAAGCAAATATAATATTTGGGTTTTGACACATGAATTATCATTAATAAGAAGTTAAATGTTTACAAAACAGGAACCTGTTGTTCAGTAGTTGTCGTTTGTTGATGTGGTTCATGAGTGTTTTTTTTTTATATAGATTAGACCGTTGGTTTTCCCGTTTGAATGGTTTCACACTAGTAATTTTTTGGGGCCCTTTATAGCTTACTGTTCGGTGTGAGCCAAGGCTCTGTGTTGAATGACCGATAGAAAAAGGAGCTAAAGATACCAGAGGGACACTTAAACTCATAAATCGAAAATAAAATGACAACGCCATGGCAAAAAAAAGAAGAAAAAAAAACGACAAACAGATAAACAATAGAAGTTAGCAACTATATGTCACCGTGTGATCATCAACATGAGAAAAACCCTTACCGCATAAACAAACAAGCTACGAAAGGCCCCGAAATGACAAATGTAAAATAATTTAAACAAGAAAACTAACTACCTGGTTTATGTAAAATAAAATAATGAAGTATCATAAATAAGAAGTTTATAAAACTTTGAACATTTCGAAATACTACTGATTTTCTACCCTAGGAATATAGATTACCCTAGCTGTATTTGGCCAAACCTTTCGGGATATTGGTTCGTCGATGCTATTCATACATCGTACTCTATTTGATTTTGTTAATTCTTGTGTCACTGATGAGTCGTTTGAATACGAGAACAGCTTCTTGCATTCAAAATTTAAATCCTGCTATCTATGATGAATTTATACATAACAAACGAAATCTGCTGAATTACAGGCTCCTGACTTGGGACAGGCCGTGACACTTGTACCTAGGACTAATTAGTAAATATTCATAAATTGGTCGTAGTAGTTACTTTTTAATTATTATTTTGCCTTACCAATGACATTCTTAACTCTGAATGTATTTACCATATGAGGAACAAAAAAGAATTCAGTTATATCCATCTTAAGAGTCTATGGTTAAAGTATTTGAACAAGATTAAAAAGAAATAAACAATCTGATTTTATCCTGTTACTAGAACTCTTATTTATTTATATTCGTGCACTAATAGTTATTTTCATGATAACTTATTATTTTTCTTTTATTTCCCTTATTTGTTAACTTTGTAGATAACAGTTAATTTTTCGAGCTTTACAACTGTATGGGCTCATTTATACGACAAAACGAAGTAGTCAGATAACTATTCCCCCGTTGTTAAATAAAGGCAACAGTAGTATACCGCTATTCGAAATTCATAAATCGATTGAGAAAAAACAAATCCGGTTAACAAACTAAAACGGAGGGAAACACATCAAATATAAGAGGAGAACAACGACACAAGAGAAACACAACACTAAAATGCAACACACACAGAAACGAACTATAATATAACGATGGCTATTTTCCTGACTTGGTACAGGACATTTTAAGAAAAAATGGTGGGTTGAACCTGGTTTTGTGGCTAGCCAAACCACACGGGAGTCTGTTCGTTGGTTCGTTGGTTCGTCTGTTTGTTTGTTTGTTTGTTTATTTGTCATTCTGTCCATCATTTGTATCAGCAACTGCTCCTTAGCAGCTTGATAGAATTTTGAAAGAATGTTTGGGTAAAATTTGGGAATGCATAAATATCTGCACACTGTACATAGAGCCCATTTGTAACTCGCAGAATCTTTAACATATAATGATATTGTGCTCCCTCTATATTATTTTAAGTCCGAATTATTTTTTGGGTTTCTCTTACCAAACCATGGAGCTTGCCATTATATTTTTCCGATATCTGTCTGTATTTTGTTTATTTACGCGAATCATTCAAGACGGAAAACAATATTATTTCGGGGTACTTCTCTTTTGGGAATATCCAGCTCCCCATTACATCTACTTGGATGTTTAAGAATGTTTCAAACCGATATTAGCATATATCAAGTTGTTCTCTATTTAAGATGTACTTCCACCATCATAGAGACATACTCATAATTACAACTTTATGCCTTTGAAGTCTGCATCTATAAATAGGAAATCATCGGGCTTTAATAGGGAAAAGAACTATTAAAAATACTCTTGTTCGTCTAATGAATCGTTCGTTTTCTGTTATATTAACGCTGCCTCCGTTTTTACGATCACGATTGACAGTTACGACAGGCATCGAGCAGTCGTAAGTGTATTACAATATCTACAACACATCGCATCGAAAGTTTCTTTTGTGAATACAAGTTGCAATTTACGATATCGTAAAACTTACCTTACGACAGTCGTAACGTTACGATAGTTTTGTGAATACGGGGCCGGGCCCCGTATTCACAAAACTGTCGTAACGCTACTACTGTCGTAAGGTAAAGTTTACGATATCGTAAGTTGTAATTTGTATTCACAAAAGAAACTTACGATGCGATGTGTTGTAAATATTGTAATACACTTACGACTGCTCGAAGCCTGTCGTAACTCGCAATCGAAATCGTAAGAATGGAGGCAGCGCTAATATAAGACGACCAATTCATTAGACGAACTAGGGTATTTTTGGATAGATCTTACCCCTATGAAAGGCCGATGATTTTCCTATTAATAGATGCAGATTTTCCAGGCATAAAATTGTAATTATGAGTATATGTCTCTATGGTGGAAGAACATCTTAAACAGAGAACAACTTGACATAAGCAAATATCGGTATGAAACATTCTTAAACATCCAAGTAGAGTTATTGGGGAGCTGAGTATTCCCAAATGAAAAATACCCCGAAACAATATTTTTTCCCGACTACCTTGTTTTGTTGTATAAATGAGCCCATACAGTTGTAAATCTGGAAAAAAATAACTGTTATAATACAACACATAAGTGAAATAAAGGAAAACTAATAAGTTATCATGAAATAATTATCAGTGCAACAAATATGAATAAAAAGAGTACTAGTAACATGATAAAATCAGATAGTTTTTTTTTTTTTTATCTAATTCAAATACTATAACCATAGAATCGTAGGATGGGTATAACTGTATTCTTATTTGTTCCTCATATGGTAAATACATTCAGATTTAAGTATGAAATTGGTAAGGCAAAAGAATATGTAACTTCTAGGACCAATTTATGAATATTCATTTATTAGTCCCAGGTACACGTGTGCCTGTCCCAAGTCAGGAGCCTGTAATTCAATGGATTTCGTTTGTAATATATAAACTCATCATAGATATTGGGATTAAAATTTTGAATGCCAGATGCGCTTTTCGTCTTCAAAAGACTCACCAGTGACGCTGGAATCAAAAAAGTAAAAAACAAGTTGCTTTCTTTAAAAAAAGAAAAGCAATACGTGAACAATAGTTTTCCAAACATCGAGGAATATATCAAACCTCATTATTTGTAATTGCAATGACCATAAGTTTTAAATAAATAGAAAATCTTTGTCTCACGCCAAAGAATATCACTCAGTGTTCTTGAATCGTTTTATATCTATAGAATAATTTTAAGGATTCAAACGCATATTCATTAATCAACTGTTTCGATATGGCATCCTTTTTGCATTTAACCAGAGACATATAATACCGTATTATATTTCTCTGAATTAACACATCAAAAAGGTATCTTCTAAATTTCCAGGATTAGCTGGCATTGTTTTAACATCAGATTAATAAAAAAAATATGGACATATGGTATGATTGCCAATGAGACAACTATCCACAAGAGTTCAAATGAAGTGAATGTGAGCAATTATTGGCAACCGTACGGTCTTCATGGCCGTACTTTATTCTGTTTTTGTTTCTACTTTGATGACGATTAAGAATATTTTTTCCAGTATATTCCTCTTGAAACGATTATGGTTACTCCATTAGGTAAAATAAAAAGTAATTCCACCTATGTAATTTTAACGTACAGAAGTTTAATTATAAATATTATTTTTTTTCTTATCTCTATAGTAACAGTAAAATACTAATGAATATTCATTAGATCAATTAATTAACTCGACAGAAAAGCTTAATCTTCGAACATTTACAATATACAGCATTATCAATTCTCAAAATTAATTGGAGCAGAGAAAGTATGCAAAGTTACCTCTTGTAAAATTGTCATTATTATTTGATTTACGTAATTTTATTTCAAATTTCCTGCTATACACACCAGCGACAAATATCACATGAATGGTACATGTACGTGTAATATTAAATTGTTGAACATCACGGAAGATACAAACAGAAAATGTTTGGAAATAATTCAGAAGTTTGGCATTAATGGTTCTTATTTATTATATTTATAAGACAAAATGTGATGAGCAATGTACTAAATTATAAATAATTTTTTTAAACTTTTTTTTTCACACAAATGTAAGACGCAAAATATACAGAATGCCACAGCTTTATCTTATTAAATAAGAATAATTTCCATGTATTAGCGATAATTTTTGAACTATAATTATTAAAGGCACTCACACTGTAGATTCAGTATAGAAATGAACTCGTATATCCCATACATATATAATTTGATGTAAAAAATAAATAAGGTATTCTGAAACTATATATCACCATTAGCCTGGGAATGTGATCCCGAGTCCGAGTGCATTTAATATGACATTATATATTGAAAGCGTTTGAATTAAAATTCAATTTGGATTTCAAATCGGGCACTTGCTGAACAAAATCCCACTCTGTTACGTAACATGATTGTTCAGTAGATTTAGGACATTAGCAACTGCGAGAAACTTGCAACAGTACTACGACAACGTTGGAGAATACAAATTACGACATGTCTTATGCATGTCGTATATTTACGATAAATAGTTACGATACGACATGTTGTATCGTATCTTTAGTGAATACGGGGCCAGAATATCTTTCACAGTTGATAGATAAGTATTTGAAACATCGATACTAAATATATCATGCTGAAATTTTCTTTCGTATGCACCGATTTTTTTTTCTTTTTTGGAAGAGGATGCATTTTTTTTAAATAGACTGTTTGACTAAATGTCTTGAAAAATTCATTGCTTGTTTTGAAAAAGAATGGGAAAAGTAGTTCATTTCTACTGAAAATTATTTTTAATTTAATAATTTTTTTTTCAAATTGTCCCGAGAGACGGGTTGTCTATCAATTTAAGAAGGCGGGGCAAACGGTCATTATAATCTGTCAATGTCATTAATTTTACCCTTTTCTCTCTTTATGAATAACAAGTAATGTACAGGTTTAATTCAGGCGTATCAAGAAAATGATAAATCAAGAAACTACTTTTCAATTAAAGTTTCCAGTCACATTTGACAAATGCACTTCCTTTTTTCTGCAAATAATTTTGAATTGTTGTGTTAAAACATAGTTTCGTTTAACCATTAATTTCTTACTTCTCTACGTTATTTAAAATGGACTATAAACACATGTTGATTGGAATTTCACACAGAAACTAAATATTCAAATGCAAAGACAACCGTATTTCCCCGACAGTTTGAAAACAAGTAAATTCATCGTGCTTTTCAACCAAGTAAGTGATTCGCTTAGCAGACTTGACATAGTATGATTGCTTTCTTCTTTAATTCTTTACTTTTGGAGCTTCTTACAAAGATAGATAGAGTCTCTTTCCGCTGAAGTTGAGGTGTTCTTAGACTCAGTATTTATAGTGCCTTTAGAGACGAATAGAAACTGCAACTTTCTATCGTCTGATTAAGTTTTCTTAAAGCATACATATATATATATATATAGACAGGCTAGAGACGACCACTGTTTGTCATCTAATTAAGTATATTTAGCGACCATCATACACTACAGACAGCCACTATCTACCACCAGACTGAGTATCCATTGTGCTTTCACAGACTAGATGTGATCGCTTTCTACGTTATAAATATATCCCCAGTTCCCATACATATTTAATACACCCCGGGTTCCTTGCTGTATATTTGCGTTTTTCGTTTTTTTTTCAGTCATCGTCTGGCAGTGGATCGGAAAACAGAGGCATAGAGAATTCAGTAGGCACACCTAACAGCGAAAGTATATTGTTTCCTATTTCACCTGTTCCATCAACGTCGTCGTCTGATTCAGTTTGTAGAATATGTCAACTGGCTGGTAAAGAAACGGGTATGAAATAAAAATATACTAGTTAAGTTTTCAATCCTGTTGGAGCCCACTTTTTGACCCCTTGAATTCGAAAACTAACAAAATGTTATAGACCTATTAAATAACATCCTTTAGATCTTAAGACATATTAAAACTTGTCGGATATCAGCAATAATACAGTTGAATTTTTTGCCTGCATATTTGCTTAAGGTAAAAAAACAACAATTACTGTCAAGAACTACCAGACAATAAATATTGTTGAAAAGCAAGTTATGAACAACACAAAGTGTTGTTAACTTCCCAACTAGCAAAACACCACAATATTCAAACTCATTCTTCGTGAAATCAGTGATCGAGTGGTACCACCTTGAAGACACTGTAATGCGCGCACCGAGCGTTGAGAGCTTCAAACCTGTTTTTGCGCACCATCAATAAATCGACGGCGCTTTCTCTACTGATGTATTAAAGCCAGTATTGGTATCCACAACGTACTCATACAAATATGGTTGAATTTGTTACGCACGCTGGCATATCTTTACTTTGCATCTGTACTGCAGTCCAGATGACCATTAACATTGTCTTTCGTGGACAGTTTTCTGCACCTTGGATCACCTTGCCTATACTTACTTTGATAATTTAAAAAAAACAAGTCCTTTGGTGAGTAGAATAAAAAAAGATACCGAGGAAGCAATGAATCTTTGAACCAACATGAAACATGTATGAAAGTTTGGTTTTTAGGGTTCATTTTTTTAGTTCAACACCAAAAGAGAGGCGAAAGATACCAAAGGGACATTCAAACAATAGTTGTTTTCAATCGTTAAGTTTTTGTCGTGAGTCTTAAATAATCATACAAACTGCTGGTTAGACAAACGTTTTTTTTATCTGTGTTTCTAGGAGAGGAAATAAAAACTACAGAATGTTTTTGCCGAGGGAATATGAGTTCAGTCCACCAGAGTTGTCTGAGACAGTGGGTATACTATAAAGGCTCCAACAAATGTGAGATTTGTCATGGAAGGTTTAGTTCTATATCTCCTCCCACCACACCAGGAATTCTACAGAGAGAGGTAAGGGCATGGTAGTAAAGAATATCAGTGACTTCAAAAAAATTTATTGCATATAGCTGTTTTGGTTGAGATGGCACTAATATGATATTCAATCATAAGTAGTTTCAAGAAGTTTAAAAATGCATTAACATTCGTCTAAGAAAAAAAATGCTAGTGTTTATATGCCTAGCGAATTGGTTTCGAGGTCGAGTTGAGATGGGACTATATGGCACCAAATTGTTTTACAAGATTGCTAATGCACTGATACGTTATTGTGATTAAAAATTATTAAAATACAGCAACATAGAGATGACGTATACTGTTTCACACTTTAGGTCCGTTTACTTATTCCATCCTTTCCCGATATATTGAAATGGTAATAGTACGTTTATTTGCCAAACAATGAAAGTGTGAACCTGTAGAAAGGGCGAACTGCATTTGCGTCAAGTTGATGACCAATCAACCATAGTCTATCGTTTTGCACGCACCAATCAACCAATTTTTTAACTTTGCATAAGCTACACTACTACATTCAGGAATCAGATGGCAATGCTGTATAATATCTATAACAATATAAACAGAAAGCAGATGAACATATAGTATTTACACAGTTCATGACATTTCCAGTTATCATTATGTGACATATCAACACGATTTGATTTACGACAAGTTGTAATATACCTGACTTAGGTGTGGGGTACTAAAGACAAGTATAAAATATAAATAAACGAAGAGCTCTCAAATTACATCCTTTTACTTTGGATTCAAACACAAAAAGAGGCTGATACAAGTAATAATCACAACAATGATGGACAAGGCAATAGAGTTCCGGAAAATACGGATTCAACATACAGATATACAACATCCCCGCCCAAAAATGAAAAAAAAATCACATATTTTTCAAATAATGTTGAATTCGTATTAAAAAAAAATCAAATTTTCATTCATATATGACAATACAACATACAAAATAACAGGCCGCACCTTTAAACTTCATCATCTATTACTTAATTACTAGTTTATATTTCTCATGTTTCACAGACATGTAAATAAACATACATATGCCCAAATGCTGGTTACTCTTTAACTTCAACATAAATATGATGTAGCGAAATCTTATAAAGTATAGCATATTATCATTTTACTGAGTTTTAGTGTGCTTGTTAAAAATTGGTAGATATACAGTACGGGATAAGATTCAATGGAGTCTCTGCTCCTGGCTAATGGTTAGATACACCTTATAATGAACAAAATTTATAGGTTACACTATGAGCGCCAACTTTCATGGTACCAACCCTATCATACACATAATCTCTCGATAAAATAAAACAATAAAGTGAAACAAATAAATTTCAGCAGAACTATAAACCAGGGTTATTTCTGAGTCATCTCTTGCACCACTAACACACAAATTATATTTCTTTTCTTACTGTGCACAGACAGATTGAAGAATTAAATGCTAAGATTTCCATCAAATCAATCATACATAACGTTTGACATCATACCAAAACAAACCTTCATCAATCTTTACTAACAAGTAAATTTAATTATCTCAGTACTCCATTTCAAAACTTTAACTTCTACCTCTATGAAATTTAAAAATATTTCACATGTTGAGGTATACCAAAAAAAAAAACTAACCATTAGCAACTACATCAAAATACAACAATAAATCCTATAAGATAGCTGTTCTATCTTGTCTAATCAACATATGTACATGTGGACCAACAAAAATCGTTAACACAGTGAACGTTGACGGTATTTTCGCACTCAGTGTATTTCAGAAAATAAATTAACTGTTCCGTTTAAATCTTTTTAACAGTAAAACAAATTAACTGTCTTAAGTGAAATGAGCCTAAACTTGAAAGTCTTATAAAATGGAAGTTCTTAAAATGAAAATACTTTTCTCAAAACTTTATATACCTTAATAAGCAAATAAGAAAAAGAAAAAAAATAAGTTCTATAACAAAAAAAATTAAAAAAATCTTTAAACATATGATAATGTTTGCAAAAATGGTATGTACTAATCATAAAACTGTAAACACATAAATAAAATGTATCTTCAAAACAGTTCAGGTAAATTTCGAACAGAATAATCAAACAGTAAATCGTGTTTTGTTAGTTTCGATATGCGTGAGATAAATCTCACAGCAAAATATTTTATGTACAGCCTTCTTATTGCGTTGTCATGAGATAAATCTCACAGACATGAATTTACGGAATAACCGGAGGTGGCCTTGACTTTAATAATGCACGCGCCTTAGGTCCTAACTGATTTTCATCGATCCAGATTGCGTTTTGTGCCGGTTCCCCTATTAAATGTGCAAGGTAACGAATATTTTCATCGTGATTTTTCTTTGCTAAAAATCTTTTCACTTTCAGTAATGTCCCGTCTGACGCAGAACTTGTATCGGTGCTTGATAAACTTACGAAACTGTCGTCTCTAAAGCGAACAGGTTTTTGTCTTCGTCTTATTGAACGCCGTAGATTTGGCACTTCTGGAGCTTCGTCGTTATTTGTGCTAGATTGGTCACTTATTGAAATATCACGACTTGTTGACGCAGTATCGACGGTGTCTTGTTTGCTGATGACACGACCCATAAAATATTCACATGCATGGATTTGGTACGCGAATATAAGCAAGCTTTAAACGGTTAATGTGAACTGGTTGTGGAATAATTTTGTTTGTTTTGGGGTCCATTAATGAATAAAGATGAGGACTGTCTATGTGATGAATAATATACGGCCCTGCTTGCTTAAGCTTAAACTTCTGACCAGCCACTCTGGGGTCTTTTCCTAAGTACACATATCCCCTTTTTCTAGAGACACATTATGAGCTTTCTGATTAGCCCGTTCAATCATTTATATTTTAGATTTTTCTGAATTTTCACGCACTTGATTTCGAATAAATTCAAGTTTGTCAGCAAACTCCCGAATATAATTGTGATAATCTTTTGGAATTTCTGAAAATGCGGTTTTTGTTACACATGATAAAGGAAATGATGGCCTTTGTCCATAGATAATCTCAAATGGTGAATATTTTGTTCCTTCATTCACGGAGTTTTTCATAGAAAAGACGATACTTGGAATAAAATCCTTCTAATTTGTATTGGTCAACAAATAAGGTGTAATTCGCTCTGCTAAGGTTCTGTGTGAGCGTTCGCAAGTTCCTAAACAGTGATGTGTAAAACTTGGTGTGAATTGTTGTTTGATATCTAAAAGTCTACATTTTCTTTTGTGCATTTTCCTATCATCTCGGATCTATGATCGCTAAAAAGAGTATCAAAAACACCAAACTGAGTGATGATTTTATAAAGTGCATGCGAAACAGTAATTGGGTCAGAATTTGGTATAGGCTCTGTAAAAATAAACTTACTAAACATATCGACTGCAGTACACACGTAGCTGTTGCCTGACTTAGACACTGGAACAGTACCAAAAAGGTCAATTTCCCAAACTTGAAAAGGACGAATTGGAGTCTGAAAAGCAACTATGTCGGCTTTAGTCTTTCTGGTAGTTATCTTACGACACTGGCAAGCATGACACGATTTAATGAAGTTGGACACTTTGCCTGCTTAATTTGAAAAATAATAATGTTCCCTTATCAAATCTACTGTATGCTGAATCCCTCCATGGCCTCCAAGTGGTCACAGTGAATCGTGGTAAAGCGAAATAATTGTTTTTTACGGCTATTTCATGTAATGAAAGCTGATACTGACAAAATTGTTGTGTTCGCTTAGATCTCGCGACTCTAGTGTGAAAAAGCAAGTCATCGAATAAAGAAAAATCTCCTGATTCCAAAAGAACTTTACGAGCTAGTTTTTGTGATTGTGGTAAATCGCTTTTTTCTAAATATCGGAAAATATTGCCAAATTGCGGGTCATTAATTTGTAACTGTTTTAAACTTTTCGGACTGAAATCACAATTTCTGAAAATTTGCAGCGATTCTATTTTCTGTTGAACAGTTTGCTCATCGGAAATAAAATTAACATCTGACAAATCGTCTACAATTTCCGATACTAGGCTATCACTATCGGGTATATTTGTTGAGCTTAACGCAGGTTGGCTCTCCTCAACGGTATTTGTAATAAATTGATCATTTCAAGGACATGTTTCGCCTGAAGTGATCATCATAAGGTTTTCATCACTAGTCTGAGAAAATGTTATTTCCCCATCGGAAGATTGTATACAGAATTTTCTTTTTCGGAAATTTGTGCAGTTGAATCAGACATGTCAGACGCCACCGGTTTCTCGACTATCGATAAGGGTTGATTCGTGCGAACTCGTTTCTTTGTATATTTGCGAGTGACACAATCATCATTTTCCTCGGTATCGCCATCTTATTCAAAATCAGTTTGTTTTAAAGATTCACTGACTGGCCTACTAAACAAATTCTGCAAAATATCAATATTATTAAGCTGTAGCTCGTCGGTGTCACTTGATTTGTCACTACATAATAAGTTTGTAAAAGGCATTTCATTCGGTGTAATAATATTTCCGACATTTTCGGTGTGATAGGGGAAATATGGATCAAGCTGGTCCGGACTTACAAAACCTGTTGTTGACGATTTGTTAGTCGCACGGGACAGAGCGTCGGCGACTTGCATGTCTTTACCCGGTTTGTATCTCAATTCAAAATTAAACTGCTGTAATATGGCGATCCATCTTTCATAGATTGCTCCTTTTAACTTTCTGAAATTGAGAAAGTGGCTTAAGTGCTTGGTGATCGCATTCAACTACGAATTTTTGTCCCCTTAAATAAATTGAACAGTCTAATATTGCTGTTACCATGCCAAGAAGCTCTAATTTCGTGGGACCGTAAGACCTCTGCCATTTACTTAGAGACTTTGGACCAAAACGAATTACGTGCAATACTTCATTAGTATCTTCCGTTGGGTGGCGTTGATATAACATATATCCTATTCCTTTACACGACGTGTCAACTGCAAGGTAAAACGGCAGGTCGTACTTCGGGAACGCAAGAACTGGAGAGTTCACTAGTAATGTTTTAACTTTCTTAA